TATTGACATCCATATACCAGATAAAAATGTCTTGGCATCCCGCATATGCACTTAGTAGCGTTTGGCACCCTCAATGGGTCCAAGGTAATTAACTACTTATCATAATAGAATGGACATATAATACACAGGATACTGAAGGATGGTTTACAAAGATCATGCTAACAGGGTTGTAGCTGTACACCCTGATCAACTGATCATTCTTCCTCATATACCTTTCAATAACTGGACTAGAATATCCTTATTTGGGGCCGATCTTTCTTTATCCCTGGGCCCCAGCCTGGGGCAGGTAAAGAAAGTGTTGTGGATTGGTTTGAATTGGATCATTAAACAATAAGTAGCAGGTGATTCGATGGCATGTGATTGGCTAACCAAGCATCTGTTATCGCACTTATGTTTCCACAAAAATAAAACATGATGTCACGCCACTAGAGGACTACTTCCCTCACTTGTGTTGCATTATTGCGCTGAATGATATCACTGATTTAGTATATCGTTGTCTACAATATTTTTGTGTCAATTATTAATAAGAAGTCTTTGAGGTTATTGCTGCTGTCTCATTTAACAGGAAAAAAAATAAAATAAAATGCACACTATGTAAATTTGTAAACATCTTAAAGTTTTGCATATTTTTCGGAAAACTAGTCTCCAAGCATCAGCCACCATCACAGACTTCAAACTAACTGTCCTATTAATCATCTATGTTAATGCGGTAGGAAGAATTTCAAATAACTTTCCCCCAAGGAATGATGACAGGCAAACAATCTTTAAAAAAACCCAGAAGTTTATTTTTCTCACAACACAATGACACAGACTTATCTGCCAGGTACAATTATGCATCTGACAGCCGACTGTATACTGCACATTCAACCTTTACTGTATATTCAGGCTAAACCCACTGATCATTACAATCATAAATTTTAGGATTGTACAAAGTGTTTGTTGTAGGTCATAAACATGTATTACTTCGGTGAAATTTCTGATTTTGTTTTATATTTAACTGACCATTTGCTGACAAATTAGCAAGGTTTATATCAAAGGTGCGTATTTTGATATTGTTGTGTTTTACATCATGTGACACTGGTTGGTGTAAAAGTCTAGAGAGCACACTGTCACTTTGCATGATCCATTAACATTTGAAACTCTCTTCTTCATTCTGTATCTCCTTTCCTCTATAATCCATCTAAACCTGAGGGGTTGGGCTCAGGTCCATCCGAATGAAATGAAGTTCAATCAATGCTTCATCTCTGATTAACATTGATTAACAGTGACAAGCCATTTATTAAAGGGTTTTCCTGTATAAATAAAGGCTTTGGAAGAGATATCTGTGGCAATGTGAGTAATCCCTCTAAAATTCACAGGATCAAGGGTGGGCAATGCAAATTTTAAAAACAGCAACATATTTTCTGGATAGCTTTGTTAAATATGGACACTGTTTCCTATATAATATTATTATCCTCTCCAGCAAAGGTTGAATGAACTATGTAAGAGGTTGTTAGTGACAATTGTTGCTTTACAATATAAAAAAAATATATACTGAACTACACCTACTTTGTAGCAAGAAGGTTAAGGTGGAAATCAAGTGTTTGGGGAGATATTATCATGAAACATATCTTGTCTGGGTCATGGTTACACTACCGCCATGGATGAGAAGTATCCAGCCAATACTGATAGGCTGGCAGACCTCTGGATCAATAGATAGGATCACATGTCAATACTGGCCAAGGATTCAATACCATCACAGAACATCATTCAGTTATCTTCATTTAATCCACATAAAACCATTCTAGAACATTACTGTACAAATGTATAAATGTTGGAATAGCTTGTTTGTAATGCAATCACAGACTAAACAGGGCATGGCTGATATATACAGACAAATGTCTACCACAGAACATAGGGGGGATGCATGTATTGCAGATGAGGGAACAGATGACCCTAGGGTGTAACAGTACCGACGGTACGGTCAGCTCAACACACCTCCATCACATTTATCTCTCAAGTCTGTAGTCAACAATACACCCAAAGGTAGCCATCTTGAAATTCTAGTTATCTCCCCTTAACAGACATAACCTGGAGAAATCATGTGACTTTTGACTTTTGCTTTACTGATATTTATGAATGTCTTTTATGGCAAAGTCAGCAATATTCCATGGAGGTCCCAGTGGAGCCACTGCACCAACAACACACAAAATACAAAGCATCTGTGATGCCTAATGCTTATTATAGAGATTAGCTTCACAACTGCGATTATCTGGGGTTTTACATATTCATTCAATAACAATATGTGTCCTGGACCCATCAGCCACCGTACCTTCACTTTGGAAGTGACCTCACCATCTCATCACTAACTTAGCACAGAATGTCTCTCGCCAGTGGTATTGATATCAACAACCAATCAAAAAAGCATCTTCTGAAGGCAAATCTGCATAGATCTACATTCAAAACCGTTGCCTTGTTTCAACAAGTCCTCCATACACTTCAGGACACAGCCATAAAACCTTTTTGGCTGGCAAATGCTTTCCTAAGTATGAATACAGAGAGTAGGCCTTTTGCAATGAACGGTTCTAGTTGTATGACAGCTGGCACTGGCCGAGTAGTGGATATATCGCTGCTTGTTTAATCGTGAAAGAACAGTTTAGTTTGATTAAATTTCTATGTCATCATGTAATACAAACTGAACTCAAAGCAAAGGTATGGTTGCGATTGGGTCCAGGGTGTTATCATAATAGAAATGAGTGAGTTGGGTTTAAAGCCGCTTTTAACCGTATTCCAGTTATAGCATGGCTTGTCAGCTTAATGTGGGAGGAAAGCCCGAAGTGATGCAGGTCTCAGATGTTTACCACTTTGGTGAAACCCACGAGCACGGGGATGTTGCTGACAAACCTAGAAACATTTTTTTTGGTGTGCCCAAGGGACGCAACTCTGCACAGCGAATCGCAGCACCTTAGACTGGTGGGCCACCCATGCCCCCCTAATAGAAAGGAAATATAACACACTGGATAACTGAGGACGCACAGGTTGTGGATGTGTCACCTTGATGAAACTGGGTGGTTGCTGACTGACCAAGGATCATAATCAGAGTTGAACCCTAGTAAGACAAATGTCAAGTCAAGAGTGTGACAGAAATGGATGACTGTTGGGTGACTTTGGGATTTACAGAAATTGGAAATCGCATGTCAGAGGTTGCGTGAGTTGACCACAAAATGAGATGTAGGTGCTGATATCAATGATAATTTTATCACGCATGCACGCTCACATGCATGCATGTACACACACTCACATAATGCCCATGCATTGAATACATCTTCACATTGTGCATCCCTGTATTGCATATAGAACCTAGCACTTTATATCGTGCATACACCATGACACATGTATTGCTTGTATATTGAGACTTAGGCGACACCATTTCAAATTCAACAGGGTCGGGACCTGGAACTTTTGGTTAATTTTGGGGATTCCTTTTTCAGCAGATGTACTTGTTTACTGACCAGTGACAGAACAGCTTTGACATAACACATGAAAAAGCCATACTTTCACAGTTTAAATAGTTTATTCAAAGTGGAGCAAAATATTTTGGGCTGGATTACTAAAAAAAACAAAACCCAGACCCCCATTGGATATGAAATGGTTCCTCATCTCCTACATTATAGGATATGGCCCTGTTACATTGTGTACAAGGGCTCTCCTCAAAACATATATGTTGCACCAATCATCTTTATATCATATCAATCTAATACACTTCCTTCTACTGCATGTATTTGTCATATAGCTCATATGGGGATCAGTGAAGGTGTGGTTGTGGGTGGTGGGTGGTGGGTGTGGTTCAGTGGGTGTCTGTGGGAAGTTGTATGTTTTTTTGAAGCAAACTAATCATGATGACATACAAAAAACACATAACTAAATCATTTGGTAGCATGTTATAAAAACAATAACAATTAATTGACAACATTTTAGTTAACAAATGCAAATTGTTTCGCTTGTTTGTTGGCATATTTATATTTGAAGTAAGTGCAGCCTTCCTTTTGAAAAACAGCTGTATCGCATATGGGATCGACAGGCTGATCTACAGTCCTTGTATTGTGTACATATTGTATTATCATCCCAGTATCCTATAAACTGAGGTATCTAGACATTAGTTACCAACCAAGTATTGTCTTACTGAGCCAAAGTCCTTGTATGGTATGTTAGCATCCTGGTAGCTTCTACCCCAAGCTATTTAATTCACTTTGTATACACATTGTGTTATCTTACTTTTAATCATTACATCAAGATATAATGTGTCATCCTCTTATCATATACACTGAGTTGTATTTCGTATACCCATTGTTGTGTTAACATTCTTGTAAGGAATTCAGAGGTATCATGCCATATCAAATACACAGACATAACGTACATAATGTAGACACATTGTGTCATGATACTCGTATCCTATATACTGAGGTATAACGAAATAGTGTTTTCATCTTCAAACCGTATACACACTGATCTAAAAACTCTGTATCGTATATACATTGTACGATAAGCCTCGGTACTGTTGCCCTAAACACAAAGTTCTCAAAAACAACCTTCACTCCACTGCACACAGACACATCTCAGACAGAGCTGAACAGACACATCACAGAGCTGAATAGACTCATCTCTGCCAGAGCTGAACAGATACACCTCGGCCAGAGCTGAACAGACACATCTCGGCCAGAGCTGAACAGACACATCTCAGCCAGAGCTGAACAGACACATCTCGGCCACTTCACACATGGATACACCTAACTGTCCTTGCAGTCGGGCATAAGTTTTTGATACCAAAGCTCTCTTTGGGATATGGGCTTATACACCAAATGTCTTAATTGTGAAATTTGCACAGGGTGTTGCCTCATTTTCGTCCCTCAACAAAACTGCAGGTGTACACCTTGAAAAGTATGGGTACAAGAAGAACTTTTACTTCTGCTGTTGGCAGGATGAACGTGTAATGGCAGATGTGTACTCCACTCAAAACAGGATCTGGATGGACACATTTTAGTCAAGGTCATAATACAGAGCAGTTACAAATCAGGATCATCACACAGGAGAAGATAAACACATCATGGTATCAAAAGCACTGAAAACCATACATTGTTACAAAACACACTGATTACTGAAACCTGTAGTGAACGACAATGCACCAGAGCACCACCATGTAACAGTTTCTGGTTAACAAACAGTAAAATGTCCATATGATGATATAACCAACAACAAAGTGTACTTATGCTTATGTCATCATAGTTATTCATGACTTGGGGAAACATTCCACATCATATTCTACAATAGTCACTGATATAAATATATTTCATGTTTGTATGCATATCATTACAAAAAGAAATGCCATTTGGTTCACCAACGTAAACTCGTTTCTGTTCACCATTTACTTTCACCCAAACAACTGCATAAGTAAACAATAGGGGTAGTTAAGCATCAACACATCAGGCCTTGCTCCACGTGTGATCTTAGCACTACGACTGTTACAAAACTGATACTTTAACATCAACTTACAATCACGTGAAGATCAGGGTAAGAATTGGTCTTCAGCAGGGATTGGGTGGTCAGACTTGCTGACTTGGTTGAAGCATCCAAATGCATAGATCAATTCTCATGATGTCAATAACAGGATTTTCAGGTCCAGATTTGATTATTTACAGACCGCCTTCATGTGGCTGTGGCTTTCAACAACAAACAAACAAACAAACAAACAACATGATGGTTGTGGTGCTAAGTTCCACTAACAGAATGAGGCTCAGGACTCCATTCCATCAAACAATTTTAGTGCCACGATTGTCGTAAGTCTACGTTAACCAAATTAAAGTAGGGGAGTTACGATCTTCTTAGATCACTTTGTGGAATGGTGGTCAGCATGGTCAGAACAATATTACCCACATTTTCTTGCACCGTGTTTAGAGAATGTGTCATATGTATAATCTTACATCATAACAAAACAAGTAAACACAAGTGTGTAGAAATTAATCAGTGAATATCTGTTACCACAGTTACTAGGTAACTTAACATCACAGAAGCACAAGATTTCTTCTTGCCCTGATGATAATGCTTTATAAAAATGACTTTACTAAAGATGCAAAAATATTAAGCCTCATGGTTATCCGTTCAAGAATTATGAAAATCGATGTCGATGAGATCAAGTTCAAAGTGTAAAACAAACACTTTGAACTAGAGTGATATGTCAATTCAAAAATAATAAATACAAAAATGATGAGGTTCACAGTAACATTGCACACTCTTAACCACTTAAAATTACAATATCTCCCACAAAATTGTGTCAAAATTCACCAGTGTTTGATGGTGATTCTGTATCCCAAAAAATAATACCTCTTGTGAACAATACATTTTTGACATTCTAGTTGAGTAGAATAGGATACGTGAAAAACTGATTTATTGCAATTTTCATTTTTGACACCTCAAAACAGTTATGTAAGTCAAAACTAATGTAATTAATATTTTCTGTCCTTTAGTCAGTAAAAGACAGGAATCAAAAACGTTCGTCACTTTTCAGATTTAAAAAAAAAAAATTCTTTAAATACAGTTCCTCAAATACAAACAACATGAGGGAATTAGGTTTAAATCATTTACAACAATATGTTAAGTGTGGGCTGAGTGAGGGAAGAGTTACAGGTGGTTTATGTTTTGGTTGAACACAGGAGAATGGGACTGACAAGCCAAGGATCGTAATCTGGCAAATTAGGGATTTGAACTCAAGATCCTTGTATGGGCTAAGGGAGGCAACTTCACAAGGCAAACTGCAGTGTTCACACCCCACAAACAAAAATGGAAATGTATCAAACTGATTAAAATTTGATTACTTTGGGGATAAGCATTGCTCAAGAGGGCTTGTCTGTCAAGAATGACTGTTCAGATTCAATGTACCTTGTAATTCAGTTCATAGAAACACAGAGGGTTTGAGCAATAATACTGCTAGTAACACTACGAACAGATCACGTCCCGACCTCAAGATGAGTGATTTATGTGAAACTTGACAGCATGAGTCATTCCTAAGTTAAATGTTTAAAAAATAATGTGATTTTGATACATCTCAAGCTAGTAAGTATCATTATTCATTGTACAGGTAGACAGACATCACGGTTTATACATGACTGTAGTAAAAGCTCAAAGTATAAAGTTATACATTATAAACATACAAGGTATATCAACCATAACAGCATTCTGCAGAGAATGCATGTTCAAAATCGACTCCTTCTTCCAATAAATGCTTTCTGTCTCTGTCTTCATTAACAAGTCAAAATCTATTCCTATTCTCACACCAACATGATAAAAAAACCAAAGAATATATCTGTTGAAAACACCAAGCTTGTGGCTTCCAAGCATTTGAAAAGCATGATTGATTTGTTTACGGGGATACATAGCTATGTATACATGCTAATATACAGAATACAATGATGTTGATTATATGCGTATATCTATGGCAAGATACAGTCATTGCCCATGTAGTTGATAGTGACTAGGAGTACTTCACATAGATATTGCAGATATATCAAGACATACCATACACTGGGCAAGAGAATATCAAAGCTGTCATCCGATAATCTAGCTGTGGTTACTACACACAGTGGAAACTGTCCAAACATGATTCTGACTGATCCAGATTTCTTTCAATAATGGACCTAATTCAAGGTCCAGGATTTAATTTAATTGATCAAGTTATCTGCCAATTCCAGACTGAAATTGTGGGACAAAGGGCCTTTTTTTCACATATTTGCTCTCTAATCCTGATTTCTTTTCACAATTACTTCAGAGTCAAACATTTAACACAAAGTGTTGTGATTGACAATGTTCGAAATGAAGGGGATCATTGGGTGCTTTAGATATCCCATGGTGTCTGAATCCAGGGAACCCGCTAAGTCGCTAACATTTAACATTAAGGTTACATCAAAGGTCCCTTGACATTCCTGCTTAATTTTGCACACTGTAAATATGTCTTTGATCTTAGTCATCATATTGTGTGTAAAACACAAAGGTACATAACTCCTGCTAGAATCAGATTTCCGTTTTATACGGATTGCTGTCTAACCCAGACTTAAATGATGGCCTAATGCAAGTCCAGTTTAGACAGATTCCACTGTCTCCCACACTTCCAGGATTGGTTACAAATAATAAAATAATCTTTAAATCTATTTACCAAAATTAAACAGTATTTTTGAGCATGTCAGCTTGATGTGGGAGGAAAACCTGAAGTGATGTCAACCACTTTGGTGAAACCCATGCTGACAAACCTAGAAACAGTCGGGGTGAATCAGGATTCAAACCAACAATCATAGGTTTCTGGCACACCTAAGGGATGCAACTCTGCACAGGGAATTGACGCACCTTATACCAATGGTCTGAATGAATTGTGGACTAGCTGAACTTATCTCAAGGTTTTCATGCTGAAAGGAGCTCAATCAAATCCTCCAGCAGTAATGTCATTGTTTATATGTACTTGTTTGTCCATATAATAAAGTCGTTTCCGATGTCTGCGGTGTATGTTGTTTCCTCTGTGCAAACAAATGGAACAAACATGAGGAGGAAATAACTTAAGTGGTAGGATATTTTCTCAAAAATATAAAACAATGAAAGGTAACAGACACAAAAGATGACAGGTAAACTTTGTCAAATTGCCTATCCTAAAATAAACACACATTATGTTGAGCTTGCATTTCATTTGTGATTCTGTAAATTGTATCAATTTGACAAAAAAATCATTTATTTTGGCATTTGACTTTCTGATTTTAAAAACGTGACAAACATTATGCAACTTCAACATTACAACTGAAAAATATATCCCCACTGATCTATTTCATCCAAACACTTGACAGGATAAGTAACAATATACACTGCCATCAATGGTAAATTGCAGGTCTGATGATGCATAAATCTTCGTCAACATTCACATCCCTCTTTGGTATTGTCATACTTCAAAGCTATAGTTTATTCCTGTTTGACAGCTGCTTGACACATGTCACTGTGACATTGGAATAACCACTAATTGGTATACTTGAGAGATGACAATGACCTCATGTCATGACATCGTTAAGGTTTACTTTGGGTTATAATATTTAAACACCATGCCATGATACAAATTCAAAACACAACTTATAACAATCAAATCAGTTTGTTCTCTGGCCAAGCAGGCAATGTCTTGAGAAACAGTTGAATGCCAGCGTGTAGGTTGACTACGGTATTACCAGTTGGAATTAATATGTTATTTAATGGTCTTGGAAATAAAAAGCCATCTAATGGGTAGAGGTGTGTGGATGTGTGGGTATGTGGGTTGGTGGGGTGTACAGGGTTCTTGGGATGTATGAGATGCCATGGGTGTATGGGGTGCTGGGTGTATGGGGTGACATGGGGTGCAGGGGATTTATGAGATGCCTCGGGTGTATGGGTGTTGGGGTGTATGGGGTGACATGGGGTGCAGGGGATGTATGAGATGCCTCGGGTGTATGGGTGTTGGGGTGTATGGGTGTTGGGTGTATGGGGTGACATGGGGTGCAGGGGATGTATGAGATGCCTCGGGTGTATGGGTGTTGGGGTGTATGGGTGTTGGGTGTATGGGGTGACATGGGGTGCAGGGGATGTATGAGATGCCTCGGGTGTATGGGTGATGGGGTGTATGGGTGTATGGGGTGACATGGGGTGCAGGGGATGTATGAGATGCCTCGGGTGTATGGCTGCTGGGGTGTATAGGGTGCTGAGGACTTAGAGTGCTGAGGAATATGGCATGCAAGGGTAAATTGGGTACTGGAGTGCTAGGTGCTTGGATGCCGGGAGTGTGGGGTGTATTGGGAGCAGAGGTATCTGGGGCACAAGAGTGCTTGAAGCATTAATTCAGTTTTATTATAAGTTAACTAACCTGTACATGTCTACAAACAATGCAGTGAATCAAGAAGGCTGTGATTGCTTTTACGAAATTACTTCCTGCTGTATATAATACTGGGCCAGTCATTCCTTCTCTCAGAGTCAGAGTTGTAAAGTAGGAGGATCATTGGAAGGAAAGATTACCTGTAATTATTAAATAATTAGCACAGTACATTGAATTGATTTCTTCCACTACATTATCCATGTATAAACATAGTCACACCTTAAGAGCAACATTTATACAAAACATATTTGGTGCTGAGTGTCATTTTATGATCATAACAATGTACAATAATCTTATTGTGCTGTGATAACCTAGGACTGAAGCACTTTGATAAATTGATTGAACTAGGAGAACTACTGGGAATGCTTGAACATGTTGAAAGCAAGGGAAGACAATTCTGGCAATATTTGTAAGTATAAAACACTACTCATTTACATCAGACATTCTAACAAAATCCATTTGTATACCTTCAATAAGTGTTCATGATTTTCATCTGTTTTCATCAACATTACGAAGATATAGCTACTGTTCACAAACCTAACAGTTCTTCATGATCATGATCATCATATTGCATTGTTTATGGACTTCTATGATTTAACATTTTATCTTGAACCTGAACATCAGCTTGTACAGTGGGTCTTAACTCATTATAAAAATATGACTGAAAGTTTGCCAATCAACTATAATCATGATAATATCCTATCAATAATTATGAAAATATCTAATCAATAATTGTGATATGTCAATAATTATAATATATCAATAATCATAATATCACATGAATAATCATGATAATATCATATCAATAATATGTAACCAAATTAATTATGATATATGACATATGTTCATATCAAGCACCTTGACACTTTTGTTCTGAGGAGTTCTCTCTGAAAAAAAAATATCTAAACTTGATTTTAAGATAACAGTTGGGTTTGTCACTTTTTGACATCAGTACAATGCTTGATGGTCTCATGATGGCGTGTGAGACAACAGTTGTCTCTATCAAAGAGAGAGAGAGAGTGAAAGAGAGCAAAGCCAACTACTGTCGCCCTACAGCGTAGCAGTGACTACCATGACATGGAGATATAGCCAATCAATTGCTTGTATATAACCCATGAGGTGTTGCCAACTTCAAGGGACCTGGTGTTGCCTAGGAGAGGTATAATTCAGTTCCCTGAGTCATCCACTGGCTTGCTTTCCCTACTATCATTGTCCATTTCTACTGACTCTTTCTCTTCATCCTCATCCTCATCTTCATCCTCAGCCATCAACTTCTTTGCTAGCTGCACTGCTTGGAACTCGTTATAGTGGATTTTCCGTTTCAATTCAAAAGCCTTTCTATGGTCTGAAATATAGAAACAAGACATTTTTTGCACTGGTCCATGTTTGTTTTTTGTTTAACGCAGCACTCAGCAAAAGTCCAGCTATATGACAGCAGCCTGTAAATATTCATGTCTGGATCAGACAATCCAGTGATTGACATCATGAGCATCAAAATACGCAGTTGGATATAAGGATGGCATGCATCAACCAAGTCAGAGATCCTGACCACCTGATCCTGATAATCCCTTTATACGACAAGCATGGGTTGCTGAATACCAATTCTAACCTGGATCTTGATGGGTCACAGGACCATGTTTGGGTTTGAAGGCAAAGGACCCTGCTGTCGAATTTTGCCGATGGAACTAGTTTGTCTTTACACCAGACTTTTTAAAACTTGGTTTATAAATCCGCCAACCTAAAAGAGTTTAATGACCAGAAATGAGTAAAATGTCAAAAAAGCCTCTTTTCCTGATAATAAATATAAATCATTTAAAATAATACAATTCAAACTTGTTTAAAATTTAACTTCAAACCACAATGAATTATGAAGAACCGAAAGAGGAAATAAAAATATTTATTTGAAATTTGATTTTAAAACAACAAACCATTCAACCAACTGAACTGAATATTTGAAGCAAAAATCTACAAATCAAAATAAAGAAAAGGTCTGGCCTTATAATAACAAGCACTTTAACTACTAGACAGGAATAAGAAAACACTTGGCACTCTAACTTTGTGAAACTTTGAGTCAGCATATCTGTAACAATTTTTCAGGGATACTTTTGCCCCTTCATTGGGGGAATGCAGGGGCAGGAAGTAGCCCTGAAACATTGTATAATACAAACAATAAAGAAGTTGATGTCCATAAGATGTATCATATCTTAATGTTCTACCAACTTCAAAATACCGATCAAAGATTTGCATGCAAGTTCTATGGGATTATTCCAATTTCATTAAAATTGCAAATTTTACAATAAATTATATATTTATAATACTTATCCTATCTCACATCTTGCATTTCATCCTTCTTCTTCGATCCTTGTGTGGAAACGATCCTAAGACAAGTTTCCAGCTTCCAAAACCCAAACACATCCTAGCCTTAACCATGGCTACGTTCACAAACAATCGACTGTGCACTGCCTGATTCCCTCGCAAATTGATCTAAAGATGTCCCAAGCTTACTCATTCTCTTTCATGGTGTAACTGTGATGCAGGGATGGTTGGGTGGGAGTTGTGCGTGTAATAGGATAAGTATTATAAATATACAATTTATTGTAAAGTTTCCATCTGTGTTGCATGAAACAGAGGCAAACTCATTCAGCCATAACCCATCCTGTAGACAAGAGAGAGTGGACCATCCCTGGCCTTGAAAGTAAAGTTCTTCAAGACTGCCGCAACACTTGGAACAAAGGCAAACCCATTCGGCCGTAACCCATCCTGTAGTGAGTGAGTGAGTGAGTGAGTGAGTTAGTTGGGTTTAACGCCGCTTTTAACAGTATTCCAGTCATAGCGCTGCGTGTCAGCTTAATGTGGGAGAAAAGCTCGAAGTGATGCAGGTCTCAGACATTTACCACTTCGGTGATACCCACAAGCACGGGTATGGTGCTGACAAACCTAGAAACATAATTGGGGCGAACCGGGATTCGAACCCACAATCATAGGTTTCTGGCGTGTCCAAGGGACGCAACTCTGCACTGCGAATCGCAGCGCCTTAGACGACTGGGCCACCTGTGCCGCCCCCCTCCATCCTGTAGAGATGAGAGAGTGGATCATCCATGGCCTTGACAGTAAAGTTCTGAAAGACTGCCGCCACACTGACATCCTTCAGACATAAGGTGTAACAGCCCTGGCATCTCTTTTTTTAGTCCCATTAAAGCACAAGCTATCAACTACTCTTGCTTAATAATATCTGTAGACAGAGGTAATTGAGCAGAGGGTTCACGACACTGTCAAAACTGTCATTCCTTGTGGCAACTTCAATGTTGCAGATGGAAGGCTCTACAGACAAATCTTGAATCCCTTCTATGGGATTTCAAATCTGGGGACCAAAACTGTTAGAACAAATAAAGCGTGAAGATTCAATTACTTATTCTTGGATGTACACGATACGACACCCGATCCTGTTGGACACTATTATTGAGCCATCTTCATCTGTGCTGATGTGCTGATGTGCTGCTGTCAGTTGTGGAACCAGTCAAGTGGTCCAGACTGGGGTAGGCCCTGTATATCCGAGATCGAGATGTCCCTCAGGTAGTGTAAGGCAAACACTGTGTCGGACATCCAGAAACAACCTTCCATTATTGCTGATAACAAACAGTTGCTATGTAGTGCAATGGTCAACACCACTGTCCTTGTCTCATGCGGGTTAGAAGCCACTGGGGGTAGTTATCCCACAAATGCGTAGGCTTGCAGGACTAAAAAGAGCCAAAAGGACACCTTAGTCTAGGATACTTCCGTAGTCACAGCAGTTGACAAGGGTATAAACAACCCTATACATCAGCGTCGTAGATGTTAGGCAGCTTGGAGGTACATCTGTAAAAGTCTCACTGGCCAGAACCATATATCTACTCAATTGTCTGGGCTTAAATCGAGGAGAGCGGAGGAATGGTGAATAGCCTATCCGGCTGTCCTATAAGCTGGTTCTCTGCAATATAGTCCCATCGTAGACCTAGGAAGATTTTACCATGCTGTTGTCACTCAAATCGAACCCTGTTGGCATCAAGGACCTGGAGTTCTCTGACAGATATAAATCGCCATAGATCGCCATATCGAGTGCTTTGATCTCCAAAAGTGTTAATGGATCGCTATCTGATCTCTAACTGATCTCCATGATAGTCAAGGTCACTGCCTGTCAACTTCTCTGCACAAAGGTCTGTGGCACTCTGCCCAGAATGCCTTCAGATTGCTACTTGATCGCCAAGATCGCCATCGGAGCGCTACTTGATCGCCAAGGTTGTAATCAGAGCGCTGTCTTATCACCCAGAGCGCCGCCGATCGCCATGATAGACTAGGACCTACCTCTTTGCTCCCAAGCATAGAACTGATGAGCGCTTCAGAACGCTATGAGTTTTTATAGGATTGGACCCGAAATTCCCATAGAGCGCTAATTAGGTGCTAATTGATCTCCATAGGTCACCTAGATCGCTCTCGGATTGGATCGCCATCAGAGTGCAAATAGAGCGCCATTGGATCGCATCCAGATCGCCTTGGATCGCAAAAGTAGCGGGTACTGATCGTGCAAGATCGCCACATTTTGGGTTGTTTGGTTAAGATCAAGGGTCTTCAAATAGCTATCGGATAGATCACTATTGGATCGCAACAGGAGTGCTATCTGATCATAATCAGATCGTCAGTGCCCCTAGATAGCCAAAAAATGAGGAGACCTATGGTGCTCAGACCTCAGAGCGCAGAAGGGCGTTCCCTAGAGGAATGGGGGTGTAAGCTTCCGATGATACCTGAGGTAAGAAGACAGTCAGATCCCAGGCCAGTGGTCAGAATCGAGGGGTATGGTCTGCTTATCTGTACTATCTAATCAAAGCTTGAAGTTCTGCTTCAGAGGAGGTTGACCTAATCGAGGTCAAGGATTGTGGCCAAGTAAGTATCTAGTGAAGATCCTTTCAGCTTCCTTGAAGACCTAAAGTGCTGAAGGTATTCCCCCATTTGTTGAGATGATGTAGATGGGGATGTCCTGCGTCTTACAGTAACCTTCAGAGGTCTTCCACTTGTGATCATAGAAAGCCTTTGTGGACTTCTGATGTAAGCAGTTATAGATCGAGCCACTCTACGCGAACATAAAATAGATGAAGTCTCTTGGTGTCTGAGATATTTTGCAACCCTCAAGGTAGAAGTAACGTCAGAGGGTACGCATACACATTCAGGCTTTCCCCCAAAAAAGGCTTGCGCATTGTGATCCTAGCATGTGGTCAAGTAGTGGAGACATGAACCTCGGTAGTTGAATGTTGTAGCTGGTCGCAATAGGTCTACTTCTGGCTTCTGGCAGAGCTGACAATTCATTTAATATCTCTGGATGGAGCTTCTACATCAGGGATGGTTGATTCAGTCGTAACAGCATATCGGCTATCCAGTTCTGAATCCCAGATATATCTGTCCTTGGCTTGAACTTACATCTGAACTGGATTGTCATTCACAGGAGCAATGCGGCTACCGGCGATCCTGCCTTGTTGTTGATGTACCACACAACTGTGCATTGTCATATTGGACCATCAGTCAGGTCTTCTGCTTGATGAGCGAACACTCTAACCACTAGGCTACCCCACCGCCCCAGGAGCTCTTTGAACGTCATGATGAATGCCGATGATCCCTGAACTATCGTCAAACCTCATCCGATCATCAAGATTTGTCAGCCAGTGAATAATCTAGTGTTCCTGTCAATCTGAGAGATAGTTCATCACCACCCTGGGACTCTCTGATCAATTGTCAGATCGGTTGCTAAAGATGAATGTTTTCTGAATACAAAATGTTCAAAACAATTTACATTTACAAAATGTTCTGTTTTACTTGGGTACAACTCTAACATTCTGTTAAATCACATTATACTGGCATGCAAAATTATATACATGTATCAAGTATTAAGAAAAACAAATTGTCACTTGAAACATTTCTGAAGACTTTAATTGATATATTTCGGATAGAGAAATCAATTGCACACAAAAACAATACAATAAGACAGTTTGACAGAAAATGGAAAGATTTGGCAAATGAACTGTCTAGTTAATATTTATTTATTTATTTATTTATTTATTTATTTATTTATTTATTTATTTATTTATTTATTTATTTTTATTTATTTATTTATTTATTTATTTATTTATTTATTTATATTTATTTATATTTTTATTTTTTTAATAATTTTTTTTAATATATATTTTTTTTACACAACCAATTTGTAAGGATTTAGCTTCACACTTAGTTAATAAATATGGCAAATATTTGCCCCTTTTCACCATTTGTAAACTTTGATGGACACCTGTAGCGAACTTAAACTTGCTGACCTGCTTTCTGCTGTATAGGTAACCTATACCTAACAAGTATGCTACAAGACATGCTACACCATGTATAACTCCGTAATGTCATATAATGCAAGCTACATTCACAAAGTGTGGTAGACATGACCTGCACCAAAGCTTGATCATCGGGCTAAGAGAATGCTGAGGATTGTTGGTAAATGAGGACAATCCTACCAATCCATTATCCCGTTTATTCCACTCCAAACAAGCCTCACTCTCATTCTTCACTTGAACAAAAATATGCTCGCTCCCAAACATGCTTCTGACCATGATCCAACGATCCCAAACTAAACTGCAATAACCTCTCCGATCCGATAGGTGCGTTGAATGAGGGCTATGACGATGATTCCAATACTGACTGTTGTATATTCGTTGATCAGATCAGTTGTAGTGGTCTTGACATCTGCAACTACGACTGAACATGGTCCTTCTGATGCCACTCTCTGTAGTAAGCTCGGCAGGTGGCACAAGCCTGATCCCTCATCTAATAAAGGTGCAGACACACCTAACGAACGTCCTAATGTCTTAGATACAGTGGAGCCTGATTTTTCTGCCTTTAGCATAGTCCTCTTTGTCTTATTAACAGACGCTAAACCATATTCCTCCAAGATTGATTAGGAACGCCATGAACACTTGCATCTGTAGGAAGTAATTACAGCTTTTGCATTACTACATCTGTTCAACTTTGTACAACTGCCTTGACACAACAACTATAGTGTGGGTCCTGTGCAAGTTTTAATTAAAACGTTCTCTTTTACTTATCACAAACAAGTGTGATAAGAAAGAAAATTAGTAAGCTTGGGACAGCACGTGAACAAGTTGCGCAGGAATCAGGCAGTGCACAGTTCATTGTTAGAGATGGTTGCCATGGCTACAGCTAGGATGTGTTTTGGTGAGGTGTTTTTTGAAGCTGGAAACTTGTTTTAGGACACAAAGATGGAAGAAGAAGTATGTGAGATAAGATAAGTTTTACAAATTCGAACATTTTACCGCGGTACAATAAGTGTCTGTGCCATGGTCTGAGACACCTCCATACAAGGTTGTAGAGGGTGAACCCAAAGTAAACTATGACCGCCCTTTTAACGTAAACAATGCATGGGTCCTTCAGCTAATCAGATGCCAGGTTTTTAAACAATTCGGCTAAATATCCACAATAAAAAAAATCAGCATTACTTTTCTGCATTTGGATTCCTGAATTATTTTGTTTTCGAGGTACAGAAATCAGATATGCTTGTCTGAATGCTTGGCTCAATTGTTCCAAGAATTTAGAAGTTTGACACTGTTTGGCTGATTAGAAAGTGAACCTGACGCGACCTGATATGGAGGTGTCTCAGATATTTACACTGACAGGTCTTGATTGGAGTAAACGATCTGATCATAATGGAGGTGGAGTGTTTTTTTTGTAGGGAGTCTGACCAACCTTGATCTTCTGGAGATTCAAACTTAAGATCATCTTCGTCATCAGATCCTTCAGAGTCTTCTTCTTCTTCCTTTGCTAACTCTGCTTCTTGAGATTCAGTTAATCTTTAAATGGAAAGAAAATCATTCTAAAGATGGTCAAAATATAAACACAAGAATGAAACCATACACCTTTTTGGATTTGTGCTCAAAAGGATTATGTGTGCCAGAGCCATGAATGGCCTGATACTGTCAGCTTGTTAATGTGTTTGTTCATGTTGTCATATGACAGCCGCCTGTCTGTAATTAAGTCTTGACCAGACAATCCAGTGACTGACATACAACAACATGCAATAAACAAAGTCATTGTGCCAGTGGTTCTGTAGAGTCGCCTCTTACAACAAGTATAGGTTGCTAGAGACTTATTTTCTTACCCTTATCCACATAGTAAGGATAAGAATTTATGGATGAACAACTTCTTTATTACAATTAAGAGCGATGTTTCGGTGTAGGTTCTAACACCGTTATCATGCAAGAAACGTCTCTCTTAATTGTAATAAAGAAGTTGTTCATCCATAAATTCTTATCCTTACTTAGTACTCCAACTTCTAAATGCCTATCAAAGAAGTTATTCACTTGCTTGATAACGGTGTTAGAACCTACACCGAAACGTCGCTTTTTATTGTAACAAGCGTATAGTCGACGAAGTCATCTATATCCCCCGCCATTTTAACACGTTATGGTCCCAAACCAGGTAACTGACCCAACATTTCTCTTAGGCCATGTCAAAATAGCTGCAATGGAAATTCTAAAATAAACATTTATCAAACTCCTTAATATCAAATGGCACCAGTTTAGTATGTGTCTGGTAAACATGCAAAGTTTTATAAGAAATTATTTGATGGTTTTTGAGTTACGCTCCGGAAACAAACAGCACCCTTATAGAACCTAAGTCCAACTTGTTGCCATGGAAACGTAAAAAATAAAATTTATAGAACTCCTAAATAGCAAAAGGCACCAGTTCAGCATGAGTCTGATAGACATGCAAAGTTTCATAGAGAAATATTGAACAGTTTCTGAGTTATGCTCCGGAAACGATTTCGGGATGCACACACGCACATACGCACGCACGCACGCACACACGCACGAACACACGCACACACACGGACAGAACCCATTTCTAGATCCCCCGCCAACTTGGGCGGGGGATAATAAAGAAGTTGTTCATCCATAAATTCTTATCCTTACTTAGTACTCAAGCTTCTAAATGCCTATCAAAGAAGAACCTTATCCACATAGGCCTGATAAGGACTTGTTGGGATAAAACACAATGCATTTACATTCTCTACGTATGATAACTATTACTAACATCGATGCATATCATGCATGATCATTCATATCAAAACTTCACCTTTCTTTCATCCATTAATCAGTTTGATTACATTCTTGTTGCTTTTCTTCAAATGTTAGGCTGGGTACGTTCTTAAATTAGAACATTGATAATCATTCCGTCATACAGATAAACAGGGTCAGGTTTTTATGCAACGCACAAATGTGCGTCCATTACTCACATTAGACGCAAGTACAGAGAATGGAGGCAGAAAAAAATATACTGCATCCTGAGGGACTTGTGAAAATATTCATTGTAGCTACAGCGCATCAAGAGCAGTGATGGGTGTCTGTCATTTCATCCATTAATCATGATCACTGTCTACATGATCACTGATTCATTCCAAACTCTAAAGTAATTATCCAAATGTACAGTACAAGACACCATTTCAATACTTTACAGGAAACGACGGACAGACAGTTTGGGTGGAGGATAAATCATTTTCAGTTGTCCACAAATATAATTCATTTGCTCAAATCTTACTATTATTACATCACATATTCTATCATGTCTATCCAACCACCTGTTTTGTTGTTTTATTGGGGTATGATGCAGACTGCACTTCATCAACCAAGTCGGAGACCTATTGTAACTAATGCTAATTTGCTAGTAGATGCTTCAACAATGTTCAAACCTTAAGCCATGGAATATTCCTTTACACAAAATTGCTAGCCTGAACTTTATCCAGTATGTGCATTCCCTTAGATATGATGTACAAAAGAATTACCTGTTACATCTCATTGGTTCATATATGTTTAATGTTTTAAAGTTGAAATCACATCAACAACACTTACTTTGCAGCAATAACTGATGGGTCAAGTAGATCGCCTTGCCTACACTGCCCCTTCTCTCATCAATAACACTTACTTTACAGCAATAACTGATGGGTCGAGTAGATCGCCTTGCCTACACTGCCCCTTCTCTCATCAATAACACTTACTTTACAGCAATAACTGATGGGTCGAGTAGATCGCCTTGCCTACACTGCCCCTTCTCTCATCAATAACACTTACTTTACAGCAATAACTGATGGGTCGGGTAGATCGCCCTTTCCAGTGCCCCTTCTCTCATCAATAACACTTACTTTACAGCAATAACTGATGGGTCGAGTAGATCACCCTTGCCTACGCTGCCCCTTCTCTCATCAATAACACTTACTTTGCAGCAATAACTGATGGGTCGGGTAGATCACCCTTGCCATGACCCTTCTCTCATCAATAACACTTACTTTGCAGCAATAACTGATGGGTCGAGTAGATCACCCTTGCCTACACTGCCCCTTCTCTCCCCTTCTCCATCCTCATCTTCAGGGTCGGAGTACTTGCTGTAGGGAGTTGGGGGCTCGTCAATCTTCATATGGCCGTAGTCCTTGTCTGCTGGATGATGTGTGGCAAGAATGTTCATCTCGTCCCACTTCATGCCTTGCCGTCTTCTGAAAATGTTTTCATTTTCTTATTTAATCTGCTGTTTGCAGTGACTCATATTATCCAATAGGCCATGTGGTATATAAAGTGAGTGAATGAGTTGGGTTTGACTCTGCTTTGAACAGTATTCCAGTTATATCATGGCGTGTCAGCTTAAGGTGAGGGGAAAGGCTGAAGCGACATTTACCACTTTAGTGAAGCCCACATTATCTACATTGTATACAACGTGTATGTGTTCCTCATGTACATTGAATTACACATGTAGTACAGTATTTCCCCAATCTCCCTGAGGCAAGGGAGTTAACTGACTATCAAAGTCCAGTTTCCACCCTTGCTGAACTAGGCTGGAATAATAGATTTAGATTTTAGCTGGAGTAATGAGTCTATGTATATAATCAAAATCGCGTAAGGAAATCGACATCCAGTTTGTAAACTGACATGCATATTTCAATCGATGGCAGGATTTCCAAAGCATGTGTACCGTCAACTTAGCGTAAACAGATATTTTCCAAATCTTTATATGTTTTATCAAGGTGCTGACGTGATATGATACATTTCACAAAGTAAGACCTGTTTCATTACAATATAAATCTTGATTATCAATCAGATCGTCTTCACTTGGCACTGCTAGCCTTGTTCGGCAAGAGTGGAAACTGGACTTTTCCCTGGCCTCAGAAAGACGTATTTCCCCATAACTACTGTTCTTTTCATTGTACATGATGACCCATGTTCATCGTGTTTGTCAGTACATGGTGTACATGGAGCTCATCATATACATCATGTACATGGTGACCCGTGTTCATCATGTACGTGTACAGTGTGTTCATCATGTTCATTGTGTACATTGAATTACACATGTAGTAGTCTTTCCCCATAACTACAGTATGTTTTTTGCTTGTGCGAAAGGATAACAAAGATGATATCAAATTATGCATATATGAAAGAAAACAGACTAACTGTGCAACTTTGGTTTGTGCTTCCTTCCTTTAGATCTCAGCTACACAGCTGAGTTAAAGAAGAGAAACTAACAGATAATGTGATGCTTACTAGTACAAAAATAGTTACTGTTTACAAACATTTTACCAGTGAATATCTTGCATGTACTGACATATCAGACCATGCTGACACTGATAATTAGTCATAAACAAAGGTCTAAGATTGACATCTTTCAAAATAATACACAACATAAGATAAATGTAGCGCATGTAATTGAGTGTAACACATACTTTTGACACATCAAATTCCATAATAATCCATTAATTCATGCAAAAGTTGCTGTGAAATGGGCAAAAATTATATTGTCAATACCATATTCGACGTAATAAGCGCCCGGGGCGCTCTCAAAATTGGAAATAGTGGGCTCTTATTAGAATATAACTTTGGTGAGAACAAAAACAGAGTTGAAAAATTGTATATTTCGTAGTTTATGCTGACAGCCTGAAATGATACAAAAGAAAAGTATGTGCGTATCATACATGACAGATATATTTTCCAGAATTTAATTGCCCACAATTAAGGGTGCATATAACACACGAGTGCGTATTATACACAGATCAATAAGTCTTGTGCACATTGATCAGTCGGTAGGGGTGCTAATTGTGATTGTTCACAAGCAAATATATTAGCAAATATCGCCATGGGCGCTTATTACTTCAAATACGGTATGTCTGCCGATACAGATATGTTAAAAACTGGACAAAAGTTTCAGTTCTATCCACAATGTAAAAGTTTCTGATGGAGGAACAGACAGAAAATGCCAAGTGCCGTAGTGTAAAGGAGGAAATATTTGATTTTCTCAGTGGTCTAGTGTCTTTTCAAGTCAATGTGATCATCAAGAAAAGTATTCATGTGCAGTGTTTTGTTTCTTTGTTTGTTCGTTGTTTAACGCAGCACTCAGCATGATCCAGCTATATGACGGCAGTCAGTAAGTAATCGAGTCTGGACCAGACAATCCAGAGAGTGACATCATGAGCATCGATCCACGCAATTGGGATCAATGACATGCATCAACTAAGTCAGCGAGCCTGATCACCCGATCCCATTAGTCGCCTCTTACGACAAGCATAGTCACCTTTTACGGCAAGCATGGGTTGCTGAAGACCAATTGTACCTGGAACTTCACGGGCATCATGTGCAGTGAGCAGTCCAGGAGATTTCAGTGCTTCAGAATTTTCAACCAATCAGATTGAAGCACACTGCCATTCATTTGGCTTGTAAAATACATTTTTGTCATTACATACTAATTGTGTTGAAACAAGTTTATCATACCAGTGGAAATACACAGTAGTGCTGGAATGAGTGAGTGAGCAAGTTTGGTTTTACATCGCAATAACACAGTGGGGGATAATTGAACCCGGGCCTTTGGTGTGTCGAGTGAACGCTTTAAACACTAAGCTACCCCACCACCCCAGTAGTGCTGGAGTGATTCAAAACAAAATACATCAATTCTATAATCATAATCAATCATTAATTATTTATCAATTACTTTTTCAAAACAAAGATGACTTCAAGCCAAACTGTACTTGAAACGGAGGAGATTTACACAAAATTAAGAGAGTCGATTGGAGGTAGCCTCCATACAAACTCTTACTTACTTTATTGTATTTGCTGTAATGAGTGACCTGGATCATTAGAAAATTAACAAAGGAGGAATGCTTAATAAAACAATACACAAATAAAAATTGTTGTCATAGATCAGGCTGAAGAGAACTAAATTAGTTCAAAGTATAGCTGGGACGATACACCAACTGTCAATCTGATGCGTATCACGATACCTTGCTCACGATCCCATGTGTATCATGATACTTGCAGGTGCTCTTATCGGTAGTCTCTTAGCCATGGTTTTCATACACAGTGTGGCCAAATACCTGGCATGGTGATGATTTACAGATGGCAGTTTAAAGTATTGCACAATGGATGAAAATACTAGTAAAATCCGAGATGTTTTTTATATTTGTATACTTATCCTGCATTACACTTTAATGCATATTACTGCTTGTTCTTGACATAGAAAAGAGCTGTGTGAATACCTTGCTTGAAGAAGTTGTTCCAATTAGCTGAGAGGCCAACCCTATCACACAGCTCCCACGTGACCAGGGGAAGTGATCATCGAATCATCACATTACATTACTCTGAAGTCTGGAACATCGTAGGGCATCTGGGGGAGGCAGTTCTGCGATGGGTGAGTAATGCAGGATAAGTATACAAATATAAAAAATATCTAGGATTTTACTAGATTTTTTACTTATCCTGCCTTACTCCTTAATGCATCTTTATCCGACGCAATCGGTGGAGGGCATCCCTTCAGATGTTGGCTTTCATCTCAGAACTCTGTTTCCCTCAGCCAATCATTGGCTGTGTGGCCGGCAGCAAATGACCAGCCCATGGATGGGAACCAAGAGTCAGGTATGCGGGGAGTCCAGGTACGATGCAGCCATAGACAATACCCTTACTCAAGTTAAAGTTGTAGACTGACGTACCGAGCTGTATGCGTGGAGCATGAACCTTCTACTCCAAGGCACTTAAGCCAGGGGAGGTCGAGAGGCCGGCTCTGGACTGGAGGCAAGATCAGTGGCGTCTAGTAGTGCTGACCTGTTGAGCCACTACGAACGCACCAAAACCGTTGCATATAATATAATATATTTGATGCAATGATTGAATGAATTATATCTGAAAATATTCCAACAGAGTTATGTTAGTAGCAGCTTTTACTCTATATGTATAAAATAATAACCATAAGCATAGCACTTTGGAACAACTGATTGCTATTGCCGGATATTGTTCAGGTATGGTACAATTTGATGTCACCATTGAGGCATCCCATGTTCTTGCTACAGCAAAGGAATGAAAATAAAATATCATAATTACAACCAACAAAGGTTTTCTGTGTGTGAAATACAATGTGATGTACCCCTTTATCACCAGAATGCGGTAAGCGCACGTAAAATCTCCAAATTACTTACTTACAAAGGTTTCATGTATAATATTAGGCAGCTACCTTTTTTGAGGAATGTATTCATCAATATCCACATAAAGGAACAATATCCCATACATCTGCAGCTGTACAAAGAAACTTGTTCTATGTCATATGTTTTTGTAACAATGTAACATTTCAAAGTATTTACAGGGGCAGAAACTAACATTTTTAGTCCACTAGTCCTTATAATGATAACATATAGCAAACACCTTAAAAATGGCAAATTTCTACTAGTCCTTAGGATACCTTAACTGTTGGGCAGTTTGGCAAGGACTACAGGACTGGTGCAAATTTCTAACGCTGATTTATAGTGTTTTGGGATATCATAACCTGTGTTCGTCTCTCTGATCACGTAAGTTTGTTCAAGGTGTTTTACAAAGGTGTCATGTCTCATTGGTCAGCTGAGATGGCAGATGTGATAACTATGTTCATGATGTCCACGGTTCTTAAAAAAAATCTGATGAGTTGCATAATAATGAGCAATCAATCACGAAAGCACTGTGTAAGATAACAGTAATTAATCAATCAATATATTAACGGTTAAAACTTTGATCATTGCTTTCTTGCTAACATGTAATACATTCACCACATCAGACCTGGATTTATCATTATCATTCAGTGATTACACAAGCTAATTAAAACAGTGCCGGCTAGATGGCTTAGAGTTGAGCATTGTATCCTTTTACAGGGGCACTAATCTCTGGCTTCTTCCCGGACATGTAATACTGTTCGGTAGGGCTCACTAGCTGCCGTGAGTCGATTTGCTCGCTAACACAACTGAGCGTGATAAGAAACTGGGCTACCGTCTGTAAAGACAGCATAAATAAACTTTGAGGCAATATCTGTTTTACTCATTTTTTCTACACTGATCGGTTACCTGGGATCTATGAGGATTTCGACAAAGGACACATGTTAATTTTAATTTCTTCAGCCAAAACAGATAGACAAAAAGAACAGTAGAAGCTCACACGATATCGTTATTTGGAAATATCCCCGATGGTTATAGTTTAATTTGAAAAAGTATCCCTGCATTGAAAGCATTTTAAAATTTGGATTGCGTGGATAATACGATTGCTACTCCCTTGTTGTCATCCCTGTTTTCTGGTATAACCCTACACTTGTGTATTTTTCACCATGCACTTGATGTTCAGTTACTGTAAATCTTGATATTAACGCAAGTGTGAATTAAATGCGAAAAATGCGAGTGCTCTTTGCTCGCATTATTAAACATCGCATTTATATCAACAATAAGACATTTTGGATAGCAGAAATACCAACTTAGACATACGCTAAAAACAAACAACTATGTATTCCACATCACTGTTTATTGAGCAGCACTTGTAACAAGTATATAAACAATGTCATTCAAACACTAATTAAATCCTGTGAATTGACACTGCTGGGGTCAAGACAAGCATTCTACTCACTCATGTCATCACTGATCACACCTGCAAGTCCAGACAGACGCCACCCAACATGGTGTCTTTGCTCTTTGCGACTGCATCAAAGGCCGACACGAGCCAGTGCGCACGTATTGTTTTAGCTGAAGTACTCCACTCAGCGCTAATAAGCGGTGCTATTTGGTGTGTGGTTGGATTAATGTTTGGTTGGATTAAGGTGAGGATTCTCATGTAAACCTGACAGAGGACATTTTGTTTAGATATAAATCCACTGATGCATGAGAGGAGGGGGTGTCGCATTCATATTGAGTCGCATTTTTGGCTAGGGGCCAGCGGTCGCATTCTTTTGGAGACACATTAATTTCACGTTTTACAGTAATGAATTTATTACAGGTATAATTGTGGTAGCAGCACTCAGATTACCCAAAAGGTTCCCATTTGGCATTTCTTGTATCTGGGGTAATTATTTAATCTTAATCCAAGTTTAAGGTGAGGTGAAATGTATGTTATGTCATATGCACGTGGCAGCGCAGCAAGAGGAGTGATCAGTTGATTTTTTTTTTTGTAGATTAACTGATCATTCTTCGCAATCAAAGGATCAACAGAAAATATATTGATTGATTAATCACTGTTATCTTGCACAGTGGATTTGTCAAAAGTATGTGTTTACATGTGTAGGTTTACTAAAGCAGCCGGGATACACTCATATCTGGGAGTGAAGAGCCGATGTAAAAACAACATACTTTGTTCAAAGGATTAGTGACATATCAAAACTTCGTCACCATTACCGTTGCCACCCGCAAAGATACCAACATTTCCTGATTATTTCCAAGACTAAAGGCCCTTTTACTACCAATAAAAGCAACAAATGCACTTATGATGATGCAGTACAGGTCTTGAACTAGTCTAGATTTCTGCGATATCATCCGGGTACTCACAGGGAAAAAACAATAAAAAAAGGCAACAACCAGTCCCGGGTAATAGCTGTAGATCAGTGCCCCTTTATATAGTCATAATACTCGGATTATGAAAAGACAAAACATGAAAACGGCAAAATAGAATATTCCAAATATTGCAAGGCAGTGTTCATCTCAAAGATTGTCCTAACCATAGAGTCTCTTTTATGTAAATCATACAAAATATCCAAGACAGCTTAGATAGTAGAGATGACCAAAGGCCAAAAGATTGTGAAGACGGCTTTGACAGTCAAGGCACGCCAGGTGGTCAGTCAGTAGAGCGTGAACTGGAGTCAATTAGTGTGCCAGCAAATAGGCTTGGGATGCGCCTGGTTAACTGCACTCTTCCCAAAATATATTGGGAGATTAAAATCAAATCTGATCAGATTAGTTTATGTAAATGAAGAATAAACATATAAGATGATGGCCTTGTTTTGGGGTCTTATTGTTTGTGTAACAAATGGAGGACACTGTTTGCAATGAAAGCTAAATCAACAGATGACACTTTTGTTAAGATGACATTAGTGTCAGTGTCACTGACAGTGACAGTTCGTGACGAGTGACAGATTCGACCTTCACATAATTAATTACTATTCCTTTTTACACGTTAACAGCGAAACCTACAGCTCATTTTTGAATATGCTTTAGCTATGAAATATGTGAATATTTACCCCTCCACTCCGAGTGCAGACGGATTGTCATGCTTGTCTAGACTAGATGTGTGTTTCAAAATTCCCTTCACGGGCTTCCCATCGGTAGCCATTTTGAAAATGAATAGCCTGATAAATACGTTGTAACAACAACGCTCATTGGCTGTAGGATTTCAGCAACGAACAGTTATGAAATTTCCGGTATGTATTTCACAATCACTAAAATATTCTACATGATCGAATAAATTGTAGGGAGAGAAATATTCTCGCTAGTAAACTTTCAGCACATCAATACATTTCTATTCTTATTTAACATCTTAGAATCTAACTAATTTTAACAAATCAAATTGCGCGTTACAAAGTAAACGATGTAAACACAGCTGAGAGACAAACATGGGTATTCTATCAGTGAATGGAAATCGAAAGCTGGATTTAGCAGTATTTGCGACATCACACCGTGGAATATAAACGTTTGTAATTATTTTTTCTCATAAACATATCGCATGTCTACTTCGAATACACGCCACTATTCTAATTAGCTCCAGTTGTCAGTCCTGAATAAGATATAATAATTTGTTTCCTCGTGAAAATGAAATTACTTGGAATTTTGATACCCACCCCTAGTATATTGATAGACCCCCTTACTAACTTATTTCCCTAACCGATTAAGAGTTTCTATAGCACTACAGCAACACTAAAATTCAGTCATAAATGATTGATACTATTAGTTATTTGGTATACGTATTCAGTTAACAAACAGGATCAAAGATTAATATTTTTTTAGATTATAAAATGCATGTCTATATCTGAAGTAGGTCTACATTCCTGACAGAGGAAGCATAAATATTTGCAAGCTTGTTTACAGTTTGTTTCATTTAAGAAAGTAGATGGTACTGGAAATCATTTTTATTAAAAATAAGATCAGTGCTAAGAGACACAGCAAGAATGACTCATTAAGATATGTTAGTTATGGTAGCTACTGCATAGCCTTGAAACACATGCAGATTCGAATGTTTATTTTTGTGGTTGCACTTCTAGGCCATAAACAGGATGTTCTATGTATTCAGTGCAATATTGCTTCAGGTCCTTATTAAGGTTTGGCATTTGCGGTTGATTTGTAAAGGGTTTATCTACAGCATGATGTTTTTGTGTGTTTTTTGTGTTGCCAATACAAGTGCTACTTCATGCCATGGAGCAAACATACCACCTACAGTCTGTAATCACCACTGTGGGGAAATGATCAACAAATAATATCTGCAAATGAACTCCTCCACATGTGCAAGAACCATAGTTTTAAACCTACTTCACTTTATACTATAAACGTGATAAACTGAGATATTTTTAATAAAGTCTTGGAATGTGAGCCCAATGGCCTAATTTAAGAATTTCATCACTAAATGCATAATAAATAGCAAAACTCATTGTCACTCCGATAATCTATGAATCAATGTTCTAAACATGTACTTAACTGTTTGATTGGCATACTAGAAGTTGGTAAGGAAATAAGAAAACTTTCAACTTTATGGATAACAACTTGCTTATTGTGACGTTTGGATGCAGATTCTTGTATGTTATTAAGCTTGATAATGGTGTAAGAATCTACATCAAAACTTTGGTGCATGCAATGAACCAGAAGTTGTTCTCCATAAAGTTGTATGTTTTCAAATTTACTTTTTATTTCCTTTGATGACAGACACATGACACAGATAATGTTAACATACCATGCACACCATACATATCAAGCATAAAGTTTTCATTGATCTTATTGTGTATCTCTTATTGAAACCTCACTATGTTGTCTGATTTCATTTTCAAATCGTTATTTAACATGTTTAAAGTTCATTTTATATCTTTAAAAAATGGTATTTGAATAACATACATATTGTCTGATTAAAGTATGAACATGTGTGTAGCAGGGACAATTTGGGGTACTCTCCAAAAGCAGTATGCCCTGTGTTTAAGATCTGTAAACATTGCTGTTTTCAGTTTCTCTATGTCAACTTTATTTCTGGATAAACATGATAAAGTGAGTCAAAGTCCCTGACAAAGTTCGATTGGCTCTGCATTTTCTTGGGTGTGTTTAAAAATATTAAACTTTGGTTTTAGGAATCTGTAATGATTGCGGAAACTTGGACCTAATCTGTTGAGCAACAATGTCCCGTACAAAAGCCAAGAGTGCTGACCAGTACAAGGTGCTGACTGGAACTTGCCCGGATGAAGAATGCCAAGCCAAACTGTACTTCCCAGCATTCGACAAAAGCATCGAATGTACAAGTTGCGGACAGCGCCACGACAAAGCTTCACTTCAGAATGTTGAGGAAGTCACCAATACCAACATTGCCCTGCATAATCTACTGAAAAATGTTCTTCTTGGCAATGTCAAACCTCACAAAGGTCCTGAAAATATCAAGGTTTTAGGCTTGTCAAATTATGTGTGCAAACTTCTTTCACCAATTCTGACCAATTACGGCATGGATAAACAGACTGGTAAAGCTAAGTTGTTGCAGAACGAATTTGACTGTGCTGTTTTAGGGGATCGTGCCTTTCTGATTGATCCGGAACATTTGTCGGTTATGGGATACGGATGTGACCGTTCGGGAAGTAAACTCTATCTTAGAGAAACCCTGAACATCGTCCAAGAGGTCAATGATAACCAGGAATATCTCATTCCAATCCATGCAGATGGTGACGGGCATTGTTTGGTGCATGCAGTGTCAAGAGCTCTGGTTGGTAGGGAGCTCTTCTGGCATCCTCTTCGAGTCAACCTCCAGCATAATTTTCAGATGAATTTATCCAAATATAAAAACCTGTTTCAAGACTTTATTGATAAAGACGAATGGTCAGATATTATCAATGAATGTCACCCAGATTTTATTCCACCGGACAGTGAACCTCTTGGCCTCCGAAACATCCATATATTTGGACTTGCAAATGTCCTGAAGAGACCAATCATTCTCATTGATTCCATTGAAGGAATGCAAAGCTCTGGAGATTATTGTGGTAAGTATGGTTGAAATGTAATTGTTTCAGGTAACCATGCGACCTAAACACGCTTAATATTTTTTATCATAGCTGGAAAGAGCCATCAATAATCCATATTAAACATTTGAAAAAGAAATCTGATGTTTCTGCGTATTATCATTGGTGTAGCTATTTCTATTTACTACTATATGTATTGATGCACATTGAGCCTGTTGAAGATACCTTAACAGTGTCCTCACAATGTGCGGGGGCACGGGTGGCCCAGTCGTCTAAGGCGCTGCCATTCCCTGTGTAGAGATGCGTCCCTCGGCACGCCAGAAACCTATGATTGTGGGTTCGAATCCCGGTTCGCCCCGATTATGTTTCTAAGTTAGTCAGCACCATACCCGTGCTCGTGGGTTTCACCGAAGTGGTAAACGTCTGAGACCTGCATCACTTCGGGCTTTCCTCCCACATTAAGCTGACTCACTTCCCAATGCCTACAGTCCCATTGTGCCTACAGTAAAATCATGAAATGATATGGTCTGATGCTCAGAAAGTGATGCATGAGTGAACAGGACTGACCTGTTTCACCTGTGGTATAAGATAAACTTGTCCATACTGAGACAACAAAAACAATGTAGAAGCAATGGGAAACACTTGTGAAATGAAATCAAAACATAACACATAATGAAAGTCACTCATATATTATATTTATAATATAACAATGGCAATATTTTTACTTTCAATCAATTAACCAAAGGTAAATCATAGGTTATGGTCCTCTGTCTCATCAGGGGGCACGGGTAGCCCAGTCGTCTAAGGCGCTGCGATTCCCTGTGTAGAGATGCGTCCCTCGGCATGCAAGAAACCTATGATTGTGGGTTCGAATCCCGGTTCGCCCCGATTATGTTTCTAAGTTAGTCAGCACCATATCCGTGCTTGTGGGTTTCACCGAAGTGGTAAACGTCTGAGACCTGCATCACTTCGGGCTCTCCTCCCTCATAAAGCTGACACGCCGTGATATAACTGGAATAATTTTAAAAGCGGCGTTAAACCCAACTCACTCACTCACTCACTCACTCACTCACTCACTCACTCACTCACTCACTCACTCACTCACACTCACTCACTCACTCACTCACTCACTCACTCACTCACTCAAACATTGACATTTCATTTTGTAAAACTGAGTGATTCAAATTGACACTTCGAAAACACGAAGAACGCATAAGGATTTCACGTCAAAAATGTTCTTAGTCGCGACAGCGATCCACATAACTGTGGAGTCGATAGCTTACAATATATTTCTATCTGAGTCCATGCTGAAGAAGTGTGAAACAACATACCTTTTCGATAATTTGGGAAGGATAAAAACGGAAGGTGTCGGCAGGCTAGAGTAATGACCGTGACCTTATTGATAGCTCAGGGGGAGCTAATCTTAGTTCAAACTCTAGTTGAGAGTGGTTTCCCTTTGTATTCGCCCGGGACACCTTGCTCAATATTACAGTTTTCATAAAGCGCAAAAGTTCCGCTGTTATATTTTCTGGATCGCATTTGTGTCAATGCTTTACTCTTTATTTTCGCATTTTATACAATTATATCAATCTACACATGTAAAAAAAACCATAAAGGTTTCGTATAAGTTTTTACATCTAAAATCATGTGGGACGGGTGGATTTAATAATTGCATTTTAACTATACAGTGTAGTATTTATTGACTTAACAAAGAAATACATGTGATCAAATATTTGTATACAATATTTAATATTTTTCTTGCAAAAGTAATTGTAATTTGTTTCATTTTAAATTCAATACCTATCTTATCTATATCCTATTGAAAGACAAATATTTGATAAGAAGTGATTAAAAACTGTCTGTTGAACAATTGCATTCTTTAAAAACAGGTGATTAACGGCATATAGATGTATTACATTAAATATAACAATTTACTAAAAGTTTGACAGCAAAAGTTAAGCATAGATTTTCGTATCGACAAATCAAATAAAAAAATGGGTTCCCATGCTCGTTCGGGTTATCGTCAAAATGTAGCATAGATTGCCCATTGTCCAAAATTCACTTTCCAATATATGTTCGCAGAAAAAAAGTTTATTGAATGAAATTTACTGATCAATATAAAATACACATTTTCAACACAATAATCTTTGCTTTCAATAAACCGGTTTTAAAATATTTTGGTCTTTTTATTATTTAAGTCTACATCTTCCCGTTTTATGTTTAAAAAAATATAGATATACTTGAGACAATAAAATCGTTGTAACGTATAGGGTCAACGGACAAATACTAGTAAATGATCCTCAGCAATTCTGTCCGACAAGCCAAACATCATTGAACTACGTTCTGGAACAGATTTGACACATTACAAAGTATTTCGCTCCTCAGCCAGATTTGAATGAAATCAGACAAATCAGTTTATTAGCTCTACTTAATCTAAAAGGATAGAAAATGGCTACATAATATTATGTTCACGTTAATTTGTGGCGTGTTCCATGAGACAACATGACTTGACAATTGCTAAATTATCTCCCTTTGCGAACAAAAATTAGTGTCACTTTTAAATTTTGAAAAGAATTATGGATCTAGATAGATAAAAAAAAAGATTTCATCATCTAAATACTAATAGCTTGATATTGTATATAAGTCCTTGGTTACTTAACATCAGACTTGAACACGCATTTAGAATAACTTCCCTTACTATGTCCTTGACTTTGTTCGCGATGTGTTTATATCATAAAGTTATGCGCGCTCACGAGAGGACCCTTTGAAGGGAAAATAGTGAAGTATCTTTTTTGGCGGGTCATATAGAATATATGCAGGAGAATGAAAACACTGATAATGTTATGACTCTTGTTCTCCCATACTTTAATTAATTTTATTATAGTCATAATACTAATATTGCTTTGTGAAAAAGGCACTAGACCTAAGTATTCTTGTAAGAGCTCAAACCTACGCCAAGAAAAAAATAGTTGTGTTTCAGGTAACATGGACCAATATGGGGAGATATGTTGGTTGTTGTTCTTGTTTACTATTGTTGTTTAATTAGGTTGAAGTGTAAATTAACACAGATGGCATTTTTAGATTTGAAATTAGTTGTAATGTCTCTCAAATTTGTAGCTCAAAATACTGGAGTTATCTACATGATCTAGACCTGGCTCTAGTCTGAAGCAAACGTAAAGTCAAAATTCCCCAGAACATGCAGAAGTGAATTATATATTTCCCTATTTATGTTAAAATAGTTATATCTAACGTCATGGCCATTTTGACTTGTATTTGACTGATAACAGGACCAATATAAAATAAGAGGCCTTAATGTTTAATTTTACATTATCACTATAATATTAGTCAAGGTTAAAATAAATGTTAAAATACCTTGACCGTGTCATGGTACATGCCTCAGTGTAATAGTTCTGGATGCAGTATGTGGTGGCATATGGTCCTGTGTACAGAGCACAGATCACAAATCAGGTGAAGTTAAGCAACGTCAGTCACAGAGAGTAGTTGAATGGGTGATAGCGTTCAGTAGCTTGACTCTTGAAAGTTTCATTACTTTCAAGGCTTTTGGTCCTCCCTTACACTGAATTAAATGTTAAGCAGCTCTCGCACTTTGCCGATGTGGTTTCTGAGCTCTCCCGAGCCTAACTCGAGTTTGGTACGACTTTGGTACGAGGTGGCTACGAGCTGCTAAATAATTTGGCAGGAATTTGTCACATGATTTAACATAGAGGCTCGTATAGCTCGTATTAGACTCGGTCAAGTCGGCAATAAATTTTGCAGATGATCCTCATACGAGTTCTGTATGAGCACCACGAGGTTGCCACGAGGGTACTACGAGTAGGATGAGTGTGTTATGAGTTTGTTAGGAGTTGGCTGGCAGCCGGAGTGTTTTGAGCAGTTCCAAAACTCTCGTAGATCAGTACGAGGTATCCCGAGTTACCCCAAGTTACCCTGAGTTTAGTACGACTTCGCTATGAGCTCCATACGAGTACCCCCGAGTCAGCTCAGGTCCATACTCGGGATGCAACTCAGCAAAGTGTGAGAGCCCCTTTACTCATGTCTCCATGGGCAAGTGACTTTTTGAAATATGCCTCTGTTCACCAAACAATGAATGAATACTCAGTAGGATGAGGTTGTAATGTGACTGTTATTGCCAAACAGACTGCTTTGGTTGCACATTTCCCAGGGAGATGAAAATTAAAATTTTAAAATGTGCACACCGATCCATTTACTGGAAATTATAAGAAATATTATTGTCCAAGCGCCTTTTGAGCAGTTAGGTGTGCTATAAAAATTCATGATATGATATTATATAATAATTAAACCGTTTTGACCCACTTACTCATGCTAGTTGACTTCTCCTGACACAGGGGTGTTCCTCCCCGTGATGGTGGATCCCGAGGACTGTAAGAAGGATGGTGTGCTCAATAAGCCTCTGTGCATTGCCTGGAGCAGCAGCGGGAGAAACCACTTCATCCCTCTCGTAGGCATCAGAGGTAAGAAACTAAATAGAAATGTTTTAATCATTTGGATTTATCCATGTCCCAATTTGTTTATATATGTAATAATACACACTTTTTATTTCTCTACTCTCTCTGTCAACAAACGGGCCAAATTATATTTCTCTCAAATTTATGATGTCAGATGCCATTCTCCCATCTTCCCGAGGCATGAGAGTTAACTGACTTTAAAAGTCCAGTTTCCACCCTTGCCGAACTAGGCTTGAATTCCTGGGCTCGATCGTAGCGCCACCAGTGGCTATTACGAATTATGTCCCTTCTATGCCTCTCCTATGGACCAATCAGATTCCACCTCTCGTATCACAAAACTGTGGCGCCCAGTCAAGACGATCTGATCGATAATCAAGATCCATATATTGTGATAAAATGAGTCTTACATCGCGAAGTGCATCAAATCACGTGAGCACCTTGATTAAAAACATGAAAAGATGTAGAAAATATTTGTTCACAACGAGTTAGCGGTGCACATGCTTTGCAAATCCCGCAATCGACCGAAATCTGCATGACAGATTACGAACCGGATTTCGATTTCGGAGCGCGATTTTGATTGGACTATGCATAGACTTGTTAGTCCGGCCAAAATGTAACTCCATAATACCAGCCTAGTTCGGCAAGGGCAAAAACTGGACTTTTAAAGTCAGTTAACTCAAGAACGACTCAGAAAAGATGAGAATGGTCCACAATCTCCATGTTCAACGTATGTTATCTGAAGCGTCAACCTTACTTCTGCCTCACAACGTTGAGACTGCTCAGAACCAGCATCAATGTGTTCGATTCCTTGATCAGTCTAGACTTGCAGGCTGCCTACCTGCATATACCTATCCATCCCTCAAGCTGCAGTTTCCTCAGGTTACAGTTCTATGGAGTTCACTACCAATGGGCAGTTCTCCCATTGGGCATTTCAGTGGCCCCATGGCTATTTACACAAATAATGAAGCCAAAAACTGTTTCTACACCTGAGGAACATTTCGTGTCGTACATAGTCCAGTTCATAGGAGGCCTGTTTCAGACAGTACCGAGGGACAGATGGCTAAAGATTTTACGCCTCTTATCACCTGCACTACACCAACCATGCACCCTTCACCTATGGCAAGTGTTGCTAGGGTTATCAACTTCAGCGCAGGACTTAACCAGCAAAGGCCGATTACAAATGCGTCCAATTCAACAATTCCTGAACCCTTACTTCAGGTGTCAGGATCCACTCAAGGCCATTACTCTACCGGTCGTCCTAGGCCTTACCTCAATTAGAGGATTGAAGAGTCAAACGTCTTAGGAGGAGTCTCTTTATCCGGGTTAACCCCGAAACTACACCTGTTCATAGATGCCTCCCTTCAGGGGTGGGGTGCTCACCTGCAAGGCCAGACAGCCTCAGGGCTATGGTCCGGCCCTCATAAAAAATGGCACATAAACAATCTGGAGTTGGAAGCGTTAATTCTGGCCATTTCTCATTGGCAGAATCAGCTACAGTCCATCCAACTCGCAATATCCACAGACAACAGAACTGTGGTGTGGTGCCTTCACAATCAGGGAACAACGCACTCCCCTCCCTTCTTCAACAGACTTTCAGTTTCTTCCATCTAGTGGATCGTCTGGAACTACAATTCATAGTTCAGCATATCCCCGGATGTCAGAACATACTGGCCGATGCATTATCGCACCCAGACAGGGTGGCTCTCACCGAGTGGAAACTTCAGACAGAAGCATTTCAGTTACTGCTTCAGAAGTTCAGGCATCCAAACATCGACCTGTTTTCTACAAGCCAAAGCCACCAACTTATGACGCATATCTCCTCGTTACCGCATACGCAGGCTTGGGCGGTGGATGCATTCAGCATCCCTTGGGAAGGGCTAAAAGCGTACGCTTCTACTTCCCAAGGTGATACAAAAGATCAAGGAGACAAGAAATCTTGCTCTGACTTTGGTCGTGCCCTGGTGGCCTGCGTGAGGGTGGTTTGTTGAGCTACTATCCCTCCTGCTTGGGACTTTAACGTGGTAATTTGGAGTTTGCCAGGGCCCCCCTTCGAGCCCCCCTGTGCATCCTCCTTTTATGAGAACTCACCAAGAAAACAATTTTTCTCTTGGCCTTAGCCATGGCGGCATGTGTGAGCAAGCTACATGCAACTGACATCACCAAGGTCCATTTTGAGCATGGTACGCACAGAGCCGTACATCTCGGGTTGTGCTGGGATTTTATAGCAAAACATCAACTACCAGAACCACCTGATCATTCCTTCACCATCCCAACAATATCGACGATTGTGGGAATCGAAGATGAGGGTGAACTTCTCTTGTGTCCGGTGCGGTCACTACGAGTTTTCATCCACCGTTATTGACCAACATGTGTCATTGTTTTGGGGGGTGAATTATTGAGGTTTTGGACTTTCTGAAGGTTACCGCCTCCAAACCATCCGATACCGATGAATTAGGAGTAATGCAGGATGAGTAAAAAATGTAGTAAAATCTAAATATTTTTTACATTTGTATACTTATCCTGCATTACTACATTTAAGGACCCACCCGTCGCAGACTTGCCTCCCCACTTTAGCTTCAGAAACCTCAAAAAGTTCGTTTCTTAAGCTTGGGCGACAGGCTATGATGTGAGGAAGGTCACTTGTCATCAAGGTGACACGACAGCGGCCATGGTCCATGCAAAAAGCAGGAGTGGAATGTGAAACATCTTTATTTCTTCACCCAAGACCATCTTTTTGTTGTCGTAAGGCAAGCAGTGAATGCTTTGGGGAGTAATGCAGGATCAGTATACAAATGTAAAAAATATTTAGATTTGACTAATTATAGATACATGTATATGGCAATACGATTACATACACAAGAAATTAAGAACACAACATGTGTAAATGATGACAAATTGAAATGTATTTCACCAGCAATGATTAATATCTATTCTGACTAATTCTGTCACAAGTCTACATGTACCTTATTAAACAAAGCAACAATCACTATTCAGTCTGTACACTTGACAGAAACAGCAAAGTGCCACTTTCTCCTCAAGCTTGTTATTTCACAGTTAGGATATTGTGAGTCATGTCAAGTGGTTTTGATTCCCTTAATTTGCACTTTTTGATTTCAGGAAGTGCCACAATGTTTTTACTCAAGTCTACTCACAATGGTTTTGTGTCAAAAAAGATTACCATAACAATCTGATTGGAAGATTAGAACTAATTGGTTGAATAATTGGTTGGACAATTGGTTGAACAATTGGTTGAACAATTGGTTAAAATTGCACCGTATTTTAAACAGAATTATTTTATCTTATCCTGACTCATACTTATTGCTTATCTCTCTCTCTTCCGAATAGGTAGTGGAAACGTCCTGTGCTGTTCCTAAAGAACAGAGAAAACAGCTCACCCAAACGCACCCTCACTCTGCGCATGCGCACCGGAACCATGTGATCAAGCCCATTAACTCATCACTCTCTCTTTTTCGCGCCATCTTGGCAGCTGGAATTTTTTTTCTGTGCATCATAATCCAAGCTTTCCATAAAAATTCACCCTTTTTAACAAAATGTTTTGCTTGGATTATCTTCTGTGATATTCTATACATCATATCTAACGATTATTTTATATATTTGGCATTAGAATTTTTCGTAATTTGGACTCAAATGCAGCCCCTATAGGAGATCATGAAAATATGTAACCGATGTAAATTACGTTTTTCAGATTCGGACCCTCATCCAACCTGTACCAGCGGCACAGTACAGAACTGCACTGCAGAGAATAGATGCAAATTCTGCGCCCCTTTGGGGAAGGAAGAATTTAGTAATTATCTTTTTGCAGTGCTGAGGAAAAAGATGGATCGGAAACGACGTGAGTCATCACGCTCGTTATTATCCACAGAGACGGCTAAAAGTAAGAAGAGGCGAGAATACGCCCTGCCCTTCATCAGAGGAATTCGATTTGATATTATTCAAATTATCCCGCTGAATGTGATGCAGTCACCCCCCATCTTCCTTCCTCGTCTACCAGTAAGAAGTCTAGAGGGTCTAAGAATAAACCTACTGAACGCTTCAGTAAGGCTATCAATCTACAACAACTAGCTGAGAAAAAGAGTGCTGCATCATCTACTTTGAAGCCGTCTTCCCGACAAAACCACAGACTTCATCCGCAGTCATGAAGGGGGTTTCAAGCAAATCAGCTGTTTCTTCTAGCCAGAAGAAAGCCTGCGCGCAGACAATTACGTCCGCAAGTGTCATCCAATTCGGCTACAAATACAACCGATATATGCCTCAATCAGCCTCAGACCTTCGCACAGATACCGGCCTTCGCGCAGCCCAACACAACAATTACGCAATCCTCTACCTTCGCGCAGGCTATTAATCAACAATAGTATACACAGACGCCAGCGTTCACGCAGGCTCCCGCCTTCGCTCAGCCCAACACAACAATTACGTAATCCTCTACCTTCGCACAGGCATCAGCCTGCGCGCAGGCTATTAATCAACAATAGTTAGACAGACGCCAGCGTTCACGCAGGCTGCCGCCTTTGCGCAGCCCAACATAACAATTACGTAATCCTCTACCTACGCACAGGCGTCAGCGTAATTGTTGTGTTGGGCTGCGCGAAGGCGGGAGCCTGCGTGAACGCTGGCGTCTGTGTATACTATTGTTGATTAATAGCCTGCACACAGGCTCCCGCCTTCGCGCAGCCCAACACAACAATTACGTAATCCTCTACCTTCGCACAGGCGTCAGCCTGCGCGCAGGCTATTAATCAACAATAGTATACACAGACGCCAGCGTTCACGCAGGCTCCCGCCTTCGCGCAGCCCAACACAACAATTACGTTATCCTCTACCTTCGCACAGGCGTCAGCCTGCGCGCAGGCTATTAATCAACAATAGTATACAAAGACGCCAGCGTTCACGCAGGCTCCCGCCTTCGTGCAGCCTTCAACGTTTACACTGCCAACTACCTTCACGCAGCCTACCTTTTTTACACAAGGTACTTTGCTAACGCCTGCTATTAATACAGATGTGATAGCAAATATCACACAACAAGTCGTAATTTACGGCCTTCATTAACGGCTCCGAATCCTAACGCCTCCTATCTGCTGCGAGAGGAGGATATGTTCGAGCCCCCTCAAAATGAGGACACATCGGAAAAAAAATTACCCTTCAATTTATGAGGATCATGAATTAATGGCGTGGATTACAGATAGACTGCCGATATTATCACCGTCAACAAATTCTTCTCCCACTGATACATACTGTATCAAAGGGGACGATATAGACACACTAACCATCCCACCGATAAAACCAATCTCTAACATTGCAGAAAATCTTAATGTTTCTTTTGCGAAAGCCACGAAATCACAAGGACTTCAAATACCGAGCTTTAATTCTAAGAAATTCCCCATGCACGCCATGTCGCAATTTCTTCGCTCACCGGAGATTGATGAAGATTACTCACTCATGAAAGACATGCATTCTTTGGACAAGCGATGTCACGTGCTATGAGCCTCAGAACGACCGCGAAAGAATGCTACTTTCAGCTCTCGTCAATCAAAAGAAAAATCAAGAAATTTTTTCTGACCATATGAGTTCAGTGTCGGCAGGTTTAACACTACTACAGCGACAAGGTCTTATAAATAATTCTAATTGGTATATCTATACCAAAGAATTATTAAGACAACCCTGGGAGGCCCCAACCATTTTTAATGGTAACATACTCAAAATCAACAAAGAAGTGCTTTAAGACTCCAAAGATCATATGCTGATCAAGTCAGTTCAGACTATGAATTTTATGTATCGTCAATCCATGCAGAAAACCCAATTCAAAAGCCGTATGACGGGCATTCAAAAAGCTAAAGAGAAACGCTCGTACAACTACAGAGGTGGGAAATCATCTGCTTTTCGCAAGTCACATGACACGTCATGTGATGCCGACCGCGGCCGCAGATCGAGGTGATCTCGCAATATTACCAGCGAAAATGGGCTTTTGAACGACAGGGAACTCCCCCCAACAGCCGTTCATGTACAACATTCCCCAGTATGGCGGAAGATTAGCAAGATATTGGATGAATTGGGACATTCTAGGAGACGAATTCTAAGAAAGGGCTACGAGCCGACTTTACTCAAGAAATCCCCGTTATCTCGCAAGCCACCGAAAATACCTTATCGGAAAGAATTGTTGCCGAAGATAACTGAAGCAATCAATTCACGTCTCAACAAGGGCGCAGTCGAGATAATTCATCCAGAATTACTAACGCCGGGTTTCTATTCGCTGATCTTTTTGGTTCTCAAAAAGAATTCAAACGGAAAGTTTCGTTTGATTTACAACATGAGAAAATTCAACAGGAAATACCTCCCAAAACCGGAGGATTTCAGAATGATTCAACAAATGATAGCACGACTATCTCGGAAGCATCGATCTACAGGATGCTTACCTACACATTCCCATAAAACGGACTTTCAGGAAATATTTACGTTTCCTCTTTGAAGGACAACATTACCAGTGGGCGGTCCTGCCCTTTGGAATTTCCAAGGCCCCGTGGCTAATTACACGAGTGACCAAACCAATTGTGACATTTTTTCACAACAAGGGAATTCGTTGTGCTTTTTACCTAGACGATGGGATATAAGCCCATCAATCAACAGATCTACAACTAAATGTCACCCTGAAATTATTAACACAACTGGGTTGGTTAATACATTTTCAGAAGTCTGATCTACAACCATCTCAGGACCTCAAATTTCTGGGAATCAGATTTCTAACCAATCAGAATCTGATAATGGTACCAGAAGATCGGTGGATAAAAATCAAGACTTGTTTGCCAACAGCAATTTACAAGAAAATCTCAGTCAACGAATGGCAAGTGATACTAGGCTGACTACACTTACGCCCTATTCAGAGATTTCTAAATCCATACCTAGAGTACCAGGATTTAAAACTGCAACTACCACAAACATTGAGGAAACACCTCTTATGGTGGACAGTGAAATCGAACGTTTGCGCAGGAACTTGTTTAAACGAGCCGTATTACAACAACCACCTATTCGTGGACGCCTCACTTCAAGGCTGGGGAGCTCACTTCAACAGAGAAGTAACAGCAGGCCTATGGTTAGAAGCAGAAGAGCTCTACCACATCAATTATCTGGAATGTGAGGCAGTAATCCGTGCATTATTTCACTGGGCCCCACAGTAAAGAAACCAACATCTGATGATCAGAACAGACAATTCAACTGTGGCATACAATATAAACCTTGACCCTCCTGAAGTTGACATTTCAACTTTACGAGCTAGTAGACAATCTGAACTTAACAATAAAGACAAGACATATACCAGCAGTGGCAAATGTCTTAGCAGACGCCTTCACCAGACCAGCCAAACCATCACCGACAGAATGGAAGCTACACCCAGAAGCATTCCAACTGGCTATAAAAGAAAAAGGTTGCCCATTAGATAGACCTATTCGCAACATTTGTATCACCAGTGCCAGACCCACTAGCTTGGTCAGTCGATGCTCTGTCAATATCATGAGAGGGACTAAACGCGTATGCGTTTCCTCCACCAGCCGTGATACCACAGATATTACAAAAGATCCTACACACAAGCAGCCTACAACTGCTTTTGGTAGCGCCTTACTGGCCGGCGAGAACGTGGTTTCCAGATCTCATCGAACTAGCAGGAAATCCAATATTAAAACTTCTAATCTGGCCAAATCTACTGCTACATCCTCACTCCAATCAGGTCCATCCAAGACCAGATCTATACGAACTTCACATATGGAGCATATCAAGAGCAGTCTCGTTAAAAGAGGATATTCATTGAGAGCAGGTAGATCAACGAGGAATCTCTATGAGGATAAATGGAAAAGTTTGGACCAGTTTGCAACATCCAAGGGTTTTTCTGCAGCCAAAGCTACTATACCACAAGTAGCAGATTTACTATGTCACTTACGAAGTACAAGGAATCTTAAAGGTTTGACACTGAGCACTTATTTGGCTGCTATCAGTTCTGTACTGACAATGGCTAACGGGATAAAACTTACTAAAGTTCCCGAGCTGATAGCCCTACTCAGATCCTTCAGACTTGAGGACCAACAGAAAAGATTTAGAGCCCCAGCATGGGACCTAAATATAGTGCTACAACACCTAACTAGTGATGCATACGAACCGCTCCAACAGGCCGACTTTGAACACCTGACGCAGAAAACCCTATTTATTCTGGCATTAGCTACGGCAGCCAGAATGTCTGAAATCCACGCGATAGACTTCAATCGCATCACATTTGACAGTGGTAACAACTCATCAGCGCACCTTGGCTTAAGATGGGACTTTATTGCAAAGAACCAGTTACCAGGCCAACCAGACAGACAATTCCATGTTCCGGCTCTTTCCTCCGTCCTTGGTGCAGAGGATACAGAGGATTTATCACTATGCCCAGTCAGAGCCTTAAGATTATACCTACAAAAGTCTAAACCTAGAAGACAAGGTTTTAAGAGACTATTTATTCCTTTATTAAGGAATACACACACAGAGGTATCGAGAACAACTATCTCATTTTAGATGAGAGCTGTTATTCTCAGAGCATACAGAGCAGTGGTATTGGACCCCCCTTCAGCCTCCAACCCTCACGAAGTAAGAGCCTTAGCCTCAACTTCGGCACTTCACAGCAACTGCTCCATAACAACTATTATGGAAGGCTGTTTCTGGAAATCAGATACAGTTTTCGCCAATCACTACCTCAGAGACCTTGCTACAGAAGACTTAGCTGGTATTCACCAATTCGGACCATTAGTGGTGGCACAACTACTCACGAATCCTACCAGACGACATTAGAAGATCACACTCACCCAATATCACGTAGACTTGTTGACGTCAGGTTACTGTTCCATAACCAACGACTGAGAGTCCATGCCCATGAGTGAGAAATGATTGTGTTAAGATTATTGCTCTTCTCTTAACACTTTAATCATTTAAGGTGAACAAGATTTTAATCTTAGAAACCTTATAAATCCACAAATCTATATGATTTACTTCCATTTTGATGCTCACAAAAAAGGAAGGTGGTCCCCAAATAAAGAACTTACACAGAAGATTAACAACGTTCCTATGGTTTTTTTAGAACAGATCGACGTTAATCACACATACAGGTGGAACCCACCACCTACTGTGAGATTCAAGCAATAAGTATGAGTCAGGATAAGATAAAATATGTATTTTTTAGAGTAAAAATATCATTTATACTTATCCTGACTCATACAAATGAGTACCCTCCCGGCCTTCCCCTCTTTCCACTGATGTGTTCCGACCATTAAGTAGGAAATAAGAGAGAGTGATGAGTTAATGGGCTTGGTCACATGGTTCCGGTGCGCATGCGCAGAGTGAGGGTGCGTTTGGGTGAGCTGTTTTCTCTGTTCTTTGGGAACGGCACCGGACGTTTCCACTACCTATTCGGAAGAGAGAGAGATAAGCAATAAGTATGAGTCAGGATAAGTATAAATGATATTTTTACTCTAAAAAATACATTTCTTTAAAAAATGTCTGTTCATTGACTAGGCCGAGGGAGTAAAGATATATTAAATGCCCAAAGGAAACTATGAAATACCCACGTGGTTGAATAAATACTCAATGGCTCACAATGTTATCTGGAATCCTGATGTGAAATTCAATCAAACAAGTGTTTTAATTTTTTTCATTGGTGTTATTCATGTTATTTTCACAAGTGATGGTGTGTTACAATGTGTAATTACTTTGATATTGAGTTGGCAATATGTATGTTGTGTTCAGGCAAGCCAGTGCCGAGACTGCCACGCTACATGATCCAGCGAGCCTGGGGAATCCCAGACACCTACATTGACAAGTACATTGAATTTGATGAGCAAGGGATGTGTCGCATCGGAGGAGATAAATCTCTACAGGTAAAATACATCAAATATCAGGTCTGATTTTACATGAAGTATTATTGGAGTACTATATGTACTATTATCAGTTCCCTTGGGAATGTTTGGATGAAATAGAATACTGGCAGGGATATATTTAGACTTACTCAAAGTAAGTTTGCAGGAAAAAGTCAGTACAAATTTCCAAATTGGAATTGCAAGATTCTCCATTCATGTGTTTATCGTTATTGCCAGTTGTTTTGGTTTTGAAGAGGTGACTTTTTTCACTGATGACAGGACACAATGAATGGGATCGAAGAGACTTTACTGCTTATTTTTGCTGCATTGCTTTGAATTCACTGATAAATTACAAGTGTTAAAATACATCCAAAATTTAAAAAATAAGAACTTATCCCAATTTTAAATGTTAACATTCACTCTTTGATTACAAAACTTGAACAATGAACTTATTAAGGCATATTAATGAACATTCACTGTATCTCTACAGGATCGCTATATTCAGAAGCTGGTGCACGCCATGGAGGATGTGTTCCAGGAGAAGTATGGCGTTCATCCCAGTGTCGTAGCAGACGTACATCAGTTCCTGTACAAACAATCAGGTGTGTTGTAGCAGACATGCACCAGTTAATGTACAAGGTGTCATGTATGTTGTAGCAGACTTACACCAGTTCATGTACAAGGAGTTGGGAATGTTGTAGCAGACGTACATCAGTTCATGTACAAGGAGTCGGGTATGTCCTAGCAGATGTACACCAGTTCATGTACAAACAGTCCGGTATGTCGTAGCAGACGAACAACAGCTCATGTACAAACAGTCAGGTGTGTCATAGCAGACATACATCAGTTCATGTACAAACAGTCAGGTTTGTCATAGCAGACGAACACCAGTTCATGTTCAAACAGTCAGGTGTGTCATAGCAGACGTACAACAGTTCATGTACAAACAGTCAGGTTTGTCATAGCAGATGTACATCAGTTCATGTACAAACAGTCAGGTTTGTCGTAGCAGACGAACACCAGTTCATGTTCAAACAGTCCGGTATGTCGTAGCAGACGCACAACAGTTCATGTACAAACAGTCAGATGTGTCGTAGCAGACGTACATCAGTTCATGTACAAGCAGTCAGATGTGTCATAGCAGACAAACTCCAGTTAATGTACAAACAGTCAGATGTGTCATAGCAGACGTATATCAGTTCATGTACAAACAGTCAGATGTGTCGTAGCAGACAAACACCAGTTCATGTACAAACAGTCAGGTTTGTCGTAGCAGAGGTACATCAGCTCATGTACAAACAGTCAGGTGTGTCGTAACAGATGAACACCAGTTCATGTACAAACAGTCAGGTTTGTCGTAGCAGACGTACATCAGTTCATGTACAAACAGTTAGGTTTGTCGTAGCAGACATACATCAGTTCATGTACAAACAGTCAGGTTTGTCGTAGCAGAAGAACACCAGTTCATGTACAAACAGTCAGGTGTGTTGTAGCAGACATACATCAGTTCATGTACAAACAGTCAAGTATGTCGTAGCAGGTCTATCCCCTTAATTTTCATGATCATCAGAGAACTCAAACTTTTGTACATGATAAGTGTGTATTAAGTGGTAGCATAAAGTATATGCTGTTTAAGTGCAATGTCCTCATGAAGTTTAGAAGATCTCTTTTAAATTCCATTTTGTTACTAAAGGAATTGTGGGTGTCAAGAGTGACACTGTCGTCCTGGCAACACAGAAAGCCATCCAGGAGAGACGTCTATACCGCTGCCTGATGTGCGATGCCATCACTGAATACAGCATCCCAACTGAGTGGTTCCAGCGTGGAGGCAGTCTGTACAATCTGGCGCTCCAGAGGTATGGGGAGCTCCGCCATGATGCCAAGTACTCCTTCCCAATGCAAGGTGCAGTACTCAATAGTTCTTGTACAAAATTGTGGCCCTTTCATTGAAATTAGCTGTGAAAAGTTGCCTATCCTTAAGCAAGCCAGAAACCTGTTATCCTGGGTTTGAATCCCTATTTGATCTGATAATGTTTCTAGATTTGTCAGCACTGTACCTGTGCTCATGGGTCTCACATCTGTCTGTCTGTCTGTCTGAGCCGACCAGTCTTTGTTTTAGCTCTTTATTGCTGAGCGCCAGACAGGGTAACAACAAGTACCATCTTTTAAAATCTTTTGAGATAAATCCAAAGAGATAAATATCAGATGTTCTTTGTCATGTTGGGCTTTCCTCATAAATTGAGGTATAACTGAAAAACAGTGTTAAACCAATTTCTCTCACTTCCCTTTATGAATCTTTGTAGAATCCATTGTCCTTTTTTTGTATGTGAAATGTGACAAAATCAAAGTACTTTGGCAGTATATGTTAAATCTGGCCAATTAACTATCAAGGATCTCATCTAATGATAATTCATCCAGGATTATACTTTTAAATGATAAAGTCACATTTTCAGACAAAGCAGGGATTGTTGATGCGTTGGTGGGATATTGAATGCACAAAATATGAATAAGAACTAATATGATATGAAGATTGGTGGATGATGTTATATGAATGTTAATGTCATGCTATGTTTACGACACGGGTATCTGTCGTAAACATCGTAAACATCGTATGACATGAACACGAATATTATGTTTTATTTATTACCCAAGATGTCTACATACAGAGACGAATTATAGTGTTTACCTACAAGAACAAGAAGTCACAACAGCAGTGGAACCACAATTTGTCGAATGACGTCACCAATCTTCAGCTATGATGTCGTTTCTAGTGTAATGTCAATCCGACCTCATGTCACAATAAGATTCAAATGACATCAACAATGCTGTCCAAATGACGGAAACAATACATTGTTGTCTTGTGACGTAATATGTCCCTAGAGCACATATGATTTTTATGAACCCCGATATGTTTGCCCTAGTAGGTAATAAAACTCACTCACTCTGTCTCATGATGTCATTGTGTGTCTACTTCCAGGTGCTGTCTGTTCCTATGATAAGAATATTGACCAGCTGATTTTGGATTCGCAGAGTAGCAAGTTGTCCAAGTGTGCTTTCTGTCAAGGGTAGGTAGACATGTCACATTTTCAGACACCAGATTCTGTGGGGATAGTATCCCCTTTACCCCATACTTGACTAAAGGGATGACTGAAATTGGGATTGAGTGGTTATAATGTGTGCCCTGGATGATGTCATCGAAACCTGGTCGTGCTGTCAACCATTGATGTGTGTGGTCCAGACTAGATCATTCACAGAATGCGTTTTAAATCTTACAATTGCTGTTTGCAGCATGATAGATATCAGAATATTCCTAAGGGCACAGGAGTCCCATCATTTATGGTGGCATAGCTCGCTGTGCCGAATTACGTTCCTTTGCAGCCAGGATCTACTGGCCCTAAGTCTGTCAACATTGTACCTCGGGTCTACAAACTAGACCTTCTTCCGACAGTAATGTTACATAACACTGATACTTCTCAATGGATGAGTGACAATACTTTATGTAGAGGGTAATGTCCGAGTAACTCTATCATTCCTTAAAAATAATGGAGCAGAGGCCCCGCAAGGGCCGAAGCCTATTATTTTTAAGGAATGGAGAGTTACAAGGATATTCCCCTACTTAAAACTCATCCCAACTTTTACACTTTGACAAAATATTCTGTAGTTGAAAATATTTGGAAAATAAACCAGAACTCTTTGTTGTCTGTATTTTAACTTCGTGAGTTGCCCTTGGGTGATGCACGAGGAATGCGTTATCTGCCGCTGTTGCACGTGCGCCAAGCTCCGTCGCGAGCTGACATTTACAATGCATGGTACACGGCTCTTCATAATTTCATTGGGTCCTAAACTAGTATTTATCAATCGCTTGCACATTGTTAATACATGCTGATGAGTATAATAGGAAATATAGAGCACGAACAAGCGAATATTTATATTACCTTATTTGTTTTTTCTCGTCAAAGGTTTATCTAACTGCTATAAATATGAACATTGTTGTGGGTAACCTGCTCTAACATAAAATTTATACATATTATTTTGAGCTTTTAAGCATTATGCCAAATTATGAAAACATTTAATAGTTAATTTCATATCATGCCTTCATGTGCCGCAGTAGCTGAGATTGACAATTACCCGTTTTCAAATCTAATGATGCGGGTTCGAACCCCGCTGGCGACACATGTTTTCGGAAAAAGAATAAAAAAAATATTCACTTGTAAATAAGTGTTAAAAAATGGTTCCGTCTGTTACAAGTGGAAATTAATTCAAATGTTGCTTCAAGGTATTGTACAATTGACAAGCAACTCTCCATTCCTGAAAAATAATGGAGCGTTCAAACAATGGAATGACGTCACAGATGTGTTTTAATGGGGTGTAAGGTACAGATGCAAGTACAAGGGGGGAGCCACATCCAAGATCTTTTGTTCTCACAACATTTCCCTTTTATCCCCCCAAAACACTGTCATGAGTCCTCCATCTGTCTTAGAGGACAGCTAAATAGTCAAGTTCCACTGTCAGCATACATAACATATATTATAACAGCTTGTACCGGTGGCACTTTCACTTTCCACTCAAGGCCCACATACCCATGGCGTAGGTGCCTGTGTTATTCTTGAGTTGCATACAGCTTGAGCAGTACTGACGTATCATATGTAAGGTTGGAGGAGAACAGGATATAGATATGCTCAAGGTTTTACGCAACGCACAAATGTTAGTCCAGTACAGACAAATTTTGAGATTGGACGCAAAAATAGAATGTACTGTGTCCCGAGGGACGCACATTATTATTCATTATACCTCCAGTGCATCAAGAGCAGTTATGGGTGTTGGTCATTTCATCCAACTATCCACTTGATCATTTATTCAGTCCAGACTCTAAAATAATGACCAAAACGTACAGTACACTACACACATTTTCCTTACTTTACTGGACCCTCATATTGCCTGCAAGCCTTCAAGGACCCTTAATATTAATCATTGGAGGTTCCCAGGACCCCCACTTTTGTAAGTTAAGGTAAAACCCTGTATACTAGACATGACCCAAATAGCTAAGCCCAGGGAGGAGAACCCTAGCTGTGCTCAAAGTACAGTGAAGCCAACATTGAATGTACCTGAAACTGAAATTGTTAATGATCCCCCGCAGTCTGTATTTAAACCTTCCATTGGTGTATTGCATCTGTTGACAGAGACCGGGTCCGGCAGGTGACTGGAAACAGCAGCATCCTGTACCAGAATGGCGACCGCACCCTCACCCCGTCCACCTCCACACGCTGCACGTGTGGGTTCAAGCACTACTGGAATGGCAGGGAATATGATAACTTTCCAGAAATGTATGTGAAAGACAAGTTAATATAATTGTTTCCTCCAAAAGGAGAAGCCAAACCAAGATTTTTTACCCACAATATTTGTCTTTCAGAGCATCCAGTATGTCTTGTGAATTATTTGTCTTTGGGGATAAAACAAAATATCTTTTTCAAGCATTTTCGAGAACAGATTATTCCATGAAGAATTGTTGCAAAAAGTTGATAAGAGGTCATTATGCATGCACAAAATATACATACTGATTTGCTGAAAATGCTGAAATTAATCGACGATGACAAGTTATGAATGAATTTGATGAATGAAGCAGATCAGTAAATATTTGGAAAACGAAGTGACTATTAATGTGATTGATTGCTCATTTGCCAGACTGCCCGTGAAGTTGGAGTGGAATGATCGTACTATCAAGGAGGAGGTGGCGTGGTTCCAGTACGAGCAGGACCCATCTCTCAACAGTAATGTCTACAAGGTGGCCCAGGACTTGGTGCAGAAACACTTCCCAGGTGAACCTCCGCAGCAGAACACTCCAGCCCCGTGGGGTTCTGGGGTAGAATTGGTTCCCAGCTGGTACTCCTGATTGTGGTAAAATGAACTCTCATAGTGGAAATCTGAGGCAGAATAGGTTTCTGGAACTACTGCTTATTTGACAAGTTGACCTGAAGCAGTTTTTTTTCTAGAATCAAAATATTCATCCTAAAGGCATTAAAATTCAGAATGGTTGCAAATTATATCCACTGCAAATCCTGTTGGATGCTAGAGAGTATGAATGAGGGAATCATTGAAACTTATTAAATTGAGTCGTTGTCGTTGCATTGGAATGGGTCAGTTCAGCAGTGATCTTTGTTAAATTTACTTTCTGTACTTTTCCTGAGAAACCATTCATTATCCTTGTATTGGCACAGGGGAGTTCGGCAGTGAACGTCTGGTACAAAAGGTTGTAGACAAGCTTCTGAGACTGACGGCTATACCAGAGAGCAAGAAAGAGACGTGCGAGGGACCGAACTCCCCAGCACCACCAACACCTGCAGACAGTGTGTGGAGCCCAGACTCGCCATCAAAGATCATCATTACTGGACAACAGGTGCCTGTTTGTTCCTTATACATATTAATGATGTTTTGCAGAAATAAGGCCTTGACCTCTGAGTTGTAGCCAAAGAGGTTGCATTTGCAACATGAAATTGATTCAGATTCATGCAGATTCTATATTCTCATGGCATGGCTCATTCTCACTTCCACAAGTTGTTTCAAAATCCATTTTGTCCAATTGTCCTCCTTTTTTTAAATATATTTCATATTATTTTATATGAAGTGTGTGTCTCAGCAATATTTTAACTCATAGAATGTAGAATACAAAGTACAAAAAGGGATGTAACAGTAAAATAACACTGAATATAACAATATGTGGTGTGTGCCCTGGTAAAATCAGTAAAAACAAACATTGTCACTACTAGAGTTACGTTTATTTAACTAAAATAACATCCTTGATTATCCAGTATGTCAAATCTCCATTCTATTATTATATCCACAGACCCATTTGCCACCATAATTTCGTTTTGATGTTGGTTTGAATGACACTACACTAAAAATAGACATGCAATCAAATTACACAAATCAATTATCAAACTGGAGTGCCGTTGCAAATACAACTAGAGGACTACTGGTAAAAAGTAGTTGATTACAGTTTTGTGGTTCTTTTGAATACGAGGGCCACGATTTTGAAAGTGGATCTACGCTGAACTCGTGTTAAGAAGAGACATTTTGATTGGTTGTGGATTTCAAGCCCATGAGCAAGAGAAAATCTCTTCTAAGTTCACTATAAGAAAGATGGGGACTTCACTTCCAAAAGGGAAGCTATGGTGGTAAATGGATCCACGGTATTAATCGTATTATTAACACTGGATAGTCGTGAATGCTAAATAAATGATCATATCTTTTCAACCTTGAGCTACGTCAGTTTCACAGACTCCTCATCATGTTCCAAATGCTTATAGGGCCATTGGTGGCCCAGTTGTCTAAGGCGCTGCGATTCGGTGTGCAGAGTTGCATCCCTTGGGCATGACAGAAACCTATGAATGTTGGTTCGAATCCTGGTTTGCCCCGATTATGTTTCTAGGTTTATCAGTACCATGTGTATCAGCTTGTGGGTTTCGCTGAAGTGGTAAATGCTGAGACCTGCATCACTTCGGGCTTTACTCTCACATTAAGCTGACACGCTGTGATATAACTGGAATACTGTTCAGAGCAGCGTTAAACCCAACCCAGTCACTCCAAATGGATATTGATAAATGAGTGAAAAATGAAAGATTTCTGGGTTCACTTCATTTAAAAACTGTAGCATCAACTACCCCACTTAATTTCTAACAGCAGATTTACTACAAAACAGCCACAGTATGTCACAATTAATTGCAAGACAAATCTGCGTGGCAATATTTATCCCTCATATCCAGTATTAAGATGTTAAGTAATATGTTCGATTTCTTCTCCCCAGCAAAAGAGCATCCACAAGGAGGAACTAACTAAGAGCGAGACTGAGCGGAATATCAGGCACAGGATCGAGACTAATGCACCAAAACAGCAGCAGAAGAAATCTGCAGACCCAGTAGCCAAAAAGTCTGGAAGTCCAGCTCAAAGTCCTCGAAAAGTGAGTCTTGTCTGTTTGTGATTTGAGAGCGACAAGTTAGTTGTTTTGTCTTGAAATGAAATATTCTTACTGGAAATATTTTTATTAGCTGTCAAAGTTGGAAGGTTTGCCATTTTTATATGTAGATCATCTAGCCCTAATGTTCGTATTGTGGTTGGTTTGTTAGTTTAGTATGGGTAGCCCAGTTGAATAAGTTGTGTCCCTTAGGCTTGCCATGATCCTTGGAGCGAATCCCAGGTTCACACAGATTATGATCATAGGTTTGCCAGCATCATTCCTGAGTTCATGGGTTTCACCAAAGTGGTCAACACCTTTGAACTCCATCACTTTGGACTTGCCTCCGGCATTAAGCTGATAAGCCATGATATGACTGGAATACTGTTCAAAAGTGTGGAACACAACTCACTCGGTCACTGGTACAGATGATTACATTATGAAAATATACTAGTATACCTTTGATGCACCACACATTTCAGTAACACATTACATAAGTTAACTCTTGCATGAAGATAAAACAAATAGTAAAATCAAACAAATAATCCATTGTCAGTATTTCTTTGGTTAAGAATCATGAATACATACGTCTGCTTTGTTGTGTAGTCCCTATTTTTAACCAATGAATCAAGCCATAGCCTGGTTCCAGTGAAAGGAAAGGAGCTGTCACTTTACATCACTCAAACAGCTATGTTTTCATGCAATAATGTGACACAGCCTTGGGGCCATACTCTCTACACACTGCTTCAGTATCAGGCAGGCCTCAAAGTTTAAATTTTTACAAAGTAGCCAAGTATTTTTTTCCAGGGAGCCAGTGGTAAAATTGAGCCAATATTGTAGGTAGCTAAAAGCATTTGAAATTATCTTTATCAAATAACTATTATAATATGTACAAGTTGAAGCACTAGTCTTGAAATTGTATCTTAAAGGAAACTGTACTTGAATTTTGTAACTTTTGACTTGAACAATGATGCAATTTATTTTACTAGATTATATAGGTATATCCTTGCTTATCCAGTGAGCATTGTCAAATAAAATAAAGTTCTAATTACATTAATTTTTATGTATTTTGGTTCATTGTCGACTTTAGAAGGAATTATTTGCGAGTACAATTATTAGCAGACATGTTTTCCAATATCAGCTGTTATTTATTTTTGTGTCTACTGATGTGTAGCAATAGAATTTAGTCACCACAAGATATTTTTCTAGTTCGTCATTTGGCCACCTCTTAATTTTAGACGCTAGAAAAACTGAAATTTAGGTCACATTGGCGACCGTTAGTCGCAACTTTGAGGCCTGTCAGGCAATGGTAGGGTTCACACAAAGTCCAAGTATGGAGTAGGGTAAAAAAATTTAGCCTAAAAGATACATGTCACTACTACACTGCTAGTGATCATCTGTATTCATGGTTGATGGAGGAACATAGAATATGCAAAACCTGTTAGGTATTGATGATGGAAATAACTAAAAATAATACATTTGTTTTTTCTGAAAGAACAGGTGTTATCATCAGACCTGGCAAATTATTCCAAGATACTTTCGAATCCAGCAGCACAACATAAAACAAGTATAAGTCTAAAATTACAATTGCAGAGTACCCCAGAAAAGAAACCACCCCCAAAGGAGTCAACCCCTCCTCCAACCACTTTACCAACAGCATCATCTATGTCAACATCAACAACTTCTACCACACAGACTCCAGGGAAGAAAATCAGGCTAGCAACATCTGACGGGAGACAGGTGAGTGGCAGACACAGTGTTCGAGATATCGTCTGCCCACTAGGGAAGTGCTGGTGGATTATGATTTGGATCAGTAATCATTATCCCCCGCCGGGCCAGAATGGTCGAAGGGGGGTTATGTCTAGGTGCAGTCTGTCCGTCCGTCCGTCCCACAGAGGGTACTAAGCTTGTGAAATCAACTCCTCCTACAGTTTCCAGAGAATATCCCTGAAACTCTACACACAAGATGTTGACATGTTGATGATACGCATATCGCAGTCCCATTACGTTTCGACTAATTTTGACAGAGTTACTGCCCCTGTTTTACCGAGCTTCATTTGCCTTATTGTGAGAGAGGGTACTAAGCTTGTGAGATCAACTCCTCCTACAGTTTCCAGAGAATATCCCTGACACTCTACACACAAGATGTCGACATGTTGATGATACGCATATTTCAACTAATTTTGACAGAATTACTGCCCCTGTTTTACGGAGCTTCATTTGACTTGTTAAAAAATTCATGCGGGGGATGTTGTGCTCTCAGAGCACTCTTGTTTTAAAAGCTGTACCGACTGTCTGGTTGAAAATCTCAAGCAAGACTTGTTTATTGCCACAAACCATTAATATACTCTGCAAAAAAAACCTGCAAAAGTAGTAATATTGTAAATATCTGACAGAGTGTTGACGACATCCATACAAAATTAATACCCAAAATGAATTTGTCATTTCTGCATTGACTGGCATTGATTTGTGTGGAAAGAATAAGGTACTCCAGAAATTTGATGAAAAGAATCGCAAAAACACAACCATTTGAGAGCTTGGCATTGAAACACCCCAACCTGACATGCACATGCAACATCACTTGTTGGGCTATAAAAACTTAATTTGCATGCCATCACAATCTTACAGCAAGTAAACAGTGAAAACATGCCATGACTGACGGAAGCCCAACGCAACAACGCCATCGGCCGACTGAAAACAGGAGAGTCATCTTCAGCTTTTGCCAGGTTTTCCATGTAGCACCAGGCACCATTACAAGACTGTAGAGCCATTATCAACTTGTGCCTTGCCAGATCCGGTCAACCACATATGACTACTAGATAACAGGACATTTTTGACTGACCTGCATCCTCAGTGGTGTCAAGGTCACAGAGTATGGCTACAACTGCGATGGAGACAAGTTTGGTTTAAGTAACGTATTATGTTTTATGCTTTGCCGTGCGGATGATAGACGTCGTGTTTACAGGCGTTGCTGGGAATTTTATATTCGAAACTGCAAACAGGAAGTGGACAGATTTGGTGGTGGTATTGTGATGATGTGGGCAGCCATCTTCTACACTGGTAAAACAGATCTGGTGCAAGTTCTGGGGAATTTAATGGCACAACATTACATGGATGAGATTCTTCAGCCACACATCCTTCCCATATGCAACAAACAAACATTTTTTTCCAACAAGACAATGCCCAACCTCACATGGCAAGATTGACAACAGCCTTTTTCAGGAATCACAACAGCTAGCTTCTGCCATGACCCTTCAGGTCAAATTTAAACCCAATCGAACATTTATCTTCTTGAAAATCTACTGTTCTGTGTGTGCCATATGGAACCTGGGTCAGTGACAATGATGTGTGCCAATCTTGGACAATCGATTACTATCTGTTGTTTTTTTATATGATATATAAAATATACATCTAAAATCACTTTTGCATTTCTTTTTTTTTAGGAGAAAATGAATAAGGTGCTAAAGTCCATTAATTTTTTGGTTTCATTTGGTTTTATCTTGATCAACTCAATAGATAATAGAATGGAGATGTGACACACTAGATAAAAGAGGATGGTTTCAAGTCTGTTGTCTTTTTGCAGGGAATGCTGCATCTGGACTCCGACGTGACCTTTGCCCAACTACAAAAGTTGATATCAGATGTCCTTGACATTCCTCCACAACAACAACGTCTTCGTCTTGGTTTTCCACCGAGAGAACTGAAGGCAGGCACTGAGCCTGTTTCATTACAGCATGGGGATAAACTATCAGTGGAAATCTTGCACCCAGTGCCATCCACCAGCAGACTACACAGAGGCGGTACGGACTGCTTGCCTGCAATTTGTGTTCACTATAATAATGATAATGATGAAAATAATCAACTGAGTATGACTGTTTAAGAATAATGATCAGGATCTGACTAAATAAATAACAATGATAATAAGAATCAAGAACTGAATATCACTCTGTGCTAATAATGATGATAATATTCAAGATCTGTGTATCACTTTATGATAATGATAAATCGCGAATGTTGGATCACAATTTATTATAAGGTTGTGAGGAATATAGGATGCAAGAAATGTATCATTATGTACAAAAATCAAGAATAAATTTGGATGATATTTTTGGTAGATTCAAGAGAAGCAATTTCTCCAACCCAGAAGATGGCGTGGAATAAGTTTGATGAGAACATTTCAGCACCATCAGCAGAAGCTCTGCTTGAAAGTCTAAAGAACTCTCAAGCTGGTAAGTAGCATGAACAGCACCATTATAAGCTAGCCAAAGCCTGATAGTGGCATACAAGCAGGGCTGTAACAGCTGGAATCTCCTCATGCTTGGCCTAGGAAGGAAAACTGCAGAATGAGACCGATAGACAGACATACACCAACTCACCACTCATGCATGCACACTCACTCATTTTGCATCTCCCCACACTTACCCACTCATTTAGCAACACCACTCCATTTAGCAACTTTATTCACTCACTCACTTAGCAACTTTATTCACTCACTCACTTAGCAACTATATTCACTCACTCACTTAGCAACTTTATTCACTCACTCACCAAGCAACTCCCAACACTCACTCACTCACCTCGCAGCTCAGCTCACTCTCTTAGCCACAAATCATGTATGTTGCAGGCACAGACAGTATTGACATGTCCTTCATGTATGTTGCAAGCACAGACAGTATTGACATGTCCTTCATGTATGTTGCAGGCACAGACAATATTGACATGTCCATCATGTATGTTGCAGGCACAGACAGTATTGACATGTCCTTCATGTATGTTGCAGCCACAGACAATATTGACATGTCCTTCATGTATGTTGCAGGCACAGACAGTATTGACATGTCCTTCATGTATGTTGCAGCCACAGACAATATTGACATGTCCTTCATGTATGTTGCAGCCACAGACAGTATCGACATGTCCATCATGTATGTTGCAGCCACAGACAATATTGACATGTCCTTCATGTATGTTGCAGCCACAGACAATATTGACATGTCCATCATGTATGTTGCAGCCACAGACAATATTGACATGTCCTTCATGTATGTTGCAGCCACAGACAGTATTGACATATCCATCATGTATGTTGCAGCCACAGACAATATTGACATGTCCATCATGTATGTTGCAGCCACAGACAATATTGACATGTCCTTCATGTATGTTGCAGCCACAGACAGTATTGACATATCCATCATGTATGTTGCAGCCACAGACAATATTGACATGTCCTTCATGTATGTTGCAGCCACAGACAATATTGACATATCCATCATGTATGTTGCAGCCACAGACAATATTGACATGTCCTTCATGTATGTTGCAGGCACAGACAATATTGACATGTCCATCATGTATGTTGCAGGCACAGACAATATTGACATGTCCTTCATGTATGTTGCAGCCACAGACAATATTGACATATCCATCATGTATGTTGCAGCCACAGACAATATTGACATGTCCGTCATGTATGTTGCAGGCACAGACAATATTGACATGTCCATCATGTATGTTGCAGGCACAGACAATATTGACATGTCCTTCATGTTTGTTGCAGCCACAGACAATACTGACATGTCCTTCATGTATGTTGCAGCCACAGACAATATTGACATGTCCTTCATGTATGTTGCAGCCACAAACAATATTGACATGTCCATCATGTATGTTGCAGCCACAGACAATATTGACATGTCCATCATGTATGTTGCAGCCACAGACAATATTGACATGTCCTTCATGTATGTTGCAGCCACAGACAATATTGACATGTCCATCTCATCCATGGCCCTGCTGGCCCAGCTGTCCGGCCGAGACCTGTGGACGTACGTGTCTAGTCAGCCCCACCTCTTCTCAGTGGGAGGGTTGTTTTACAAGCAGGTGGAGAGGGATCTTGGCCTTGCCCCAGGGAAACACTGCACGCTGCCTTCTCTTCCTGGCAAGGTAAATTGGTTGTTATTGTTGGATTTGATTACTTATAGATAAGAGGTGGTCCGTTTTTCTTAGGTGCTGCATTTCGCTGTACAGAACTATGCCAGGTTCAGATGATTATGGACTGCCTCTGTGGTGTAGTGGATAGAGTGTTTGCCCAGGAAGCACAAGGTGGATGGTTCAATCAGCCGTGTTGTACCAAAAACATTAAAAGATGTTTTTTATTGTTACTTGCCTGGCGCTTGGCATTAAGGGGGTAAAACAAGACTGGTCGCCTCAGAGTCAGTATACTCTGTCTGAGTGGTGTAAAAATGTTAAACTGCTTTTAAGACAGGTAATCAGCAAAATTCTATGGAGCTTGGATGCTGTATCATAAACCTTTCGCAAATGAGGATTAGCTTTCATTTTAATTTAGTTTTATACTTAAGACTTTAATGTTTGAGACCATGTACTTTCCTGCACTGCAATATGATATATAAACTTTAACAGTTTATGAATACTTGATATATGGAGTTTATTTGTATAACCAGAGTAAATGTGTGAGTGAGATGTATATTATTTTCTGTAAACAATCTAAGATGTACTTATAAGTTGTGATATATGTCATGGGTTTTCTGCTACCCTGGGTTAAAGCCCATTTTATGTAAAAGGTACTTCTTTTTAGAAACAATGAAAGAACAAAAAAATTGTTGAACTGTGGTATGGTGTCTTAGCAGACACAAACACATGTGCATGCACATTGCTATATAAGTTCAATAATCTTCAACGCGGTATCAAACCAAATTTCAACTCTTCTCCTAAAGTTAGTTTACTTTGAGGATGGTAACGTGGGTATTGTCATCTGGTTGCAGGTGTTTCGTTACAATTCGGAAGCTGACCGACTAGAACTCTGTCTTGAACCACACGGCCACTTCCAAGTTGAGCCAGACATCGAACGCAAGGTCAAATCCGCAGCCCCTGTTGCTGAGGATGACAAGGAGGTCAAGTTCGGGTCAAGTGGGGTCATATCAAGAGGGGAGAAAGGTCATGTTGCTTTCTCAGGGCATGGCCACTCACTCCTTGCATCGGAGACAGACACCAGAATGCCAGGGGATCTCCCAGACTCTCCCCGAAAGATTCAAGCTAGGAAACTTACAAATTTCTGTGATCCTTTGCAACATATTGAAGCAATCAGTGAGGAACCAGCGGAGGTGTCATGTGACATGCCAGATGGGACAGCCATTGGTGAAGGTGCTAGCCAATCAGAGCCTGCTGTTAGGGTTGACTATCAGAAGATTGGTCCAGGATTTAGTGTGATCGACCAATCAGTTTCCAACACAACTAATGAGAATGTAGATGTTTTCCGCCAACTTGCCCAGGCGATAGAGCAGACTGTAGCAGACTGTAATGACTTTGATGAATCGTCAAGCGAGGCCCTGTCTGATGCTGGGGCTGCACACAAAGAGGAACGTATGGACAGACAGGATGAGAAGCTGAGAGATGAACAGGTAGGAATATACGGGATCAGAATCAATACTGAAAGTGTAGTTTACTTTTCATGAGAGGTATAAGACAATGATAGTATATTTGATTTCATCTTACCTTACATGAAAAAGTCCTTGAATTTTATTGGTCAGTGAATTTTGCTAAATTTCCGTATACCCCACTACAGTGGTACATAACTGGAAATATAGAACAGAACAGAACAGAACAAACTGTCATATGGAGCTCAACTGGCCATATGGCAACAAACACTTGCTTCCTCTGTTATGTTTGTGAATTGGGGTAAATAATATACATAGCGATAGATGAAGTTGCTAGTCATCTGTGGGTACATGGTCACACAGGGGGTACATGAAATCGTAATCACCTCGTAACAAGCCTACAACTTATATTATTTCCACTGTGGTTTGTTTGGGTTAGAATTGGCACCGTGCAATCTATGCTTTTATTACCTACGAGGGCAAACATATTGGGGTTCATAAAAATCATATGTGCCCTAGGGTCATACTACGTCACTAAATAACAGTGTATTATTTCCATCATCCGGACGGCATTGTTGACGTCATTCGAATCTTATTGTGACGTGAGGTCGGAATGACGTCACACTAGAAAAGATGTCATAGCTGAAAATTGTTGACAACAATCGACAAATTGTGGTTCCGCTGCTGTTGTGTTTGTGGGTTTCACCGAAGTGGAAAACGTCTGAGACCTGCATCACTTCGGGCTTTCCTCCCACATTAAGCTGACACGCCGGATATAACTGGAGTACTGTTAAAAGCGGCGTTAAACCCAACTCACTCACTCACTCCCCGGGCAAAAGAACATATACACCCTTGTTTGAGGGTGGCTAAATATGAACAAGAAATGGTTATTTGATGGTGTGCATGGTTGTTTTGGACCTTATAGACTATTAAGTTTTAATGTGTTTCAGCAACTTTTATGAGCTTAGTAATGTTTTGATATTGTTTGTAATGTTTTGGTCAAATCCAATTTTCAAGTGAATAAATTCTTTTGCCAAGATGTTTATGTTGTTAAAGTATAGTAAAAAGTTAAATACAATTAATTCTAAAAAACTGTTAACATGGTGAGTGGTTTCCTTAGATATCTCTATACTGAAGTGTAAATTTGGAGCTGTAGTTAATCATTGCATCTAACACAATAGAGCACACACACTAACGTTCCCTTTTCATTTGGAAAGTTGAATCCATCTCAAAAACAGTTAAATACTCAGAATGCAGACCAGTGGACATCCTTAAGTATGTTGTTGCAGGTGTCTGGTAGTGTGGGTGACAACAAGGAGGAGAAGATGGACACAACGTAGTAACACCTGCTGACGGACGACATAGTTGCTCCTGTGGATGTAACCATCATGACGAAGTACCGCCTGCCGATGTAGCTGTCATGACGATGTAGCTGTCACCAAAGACTAGGTGGTTAATACCAGGGTTGGAGGTGGAACCAGCCTCATGTAGCTTCAAACTGTCAAAACTCTTGTTTGAATGGTCATGTCAAGGTTAACTTTTGAAGTAGGATAGGCTATTGAATTCTCTCGTCTTTTTGTCACAGGATGCAATTACCTAAATGATGATGTCACACCATCTGACTACAGCTCACTAGTGTGCAACTAATCAAAACTGTCAGCATTTTTTTGTTTTTTACATTTAGTTCACATTCTCAGTGGAAGGATGCAGACTTTTGAACATTAGCAGTTTGAAGATCTAGTTCTTGTAAATTGAGTACCACTGTGTTGCCCTAATGATCAGGAGGTGTCCAGGTAACAGGAGGTAACACTAACTTAAATACACAAACCATTTTAGCACTGCGTGAAGGTATTGTTGTTGTAGCGATGGGTACCCTCCTGTATACAGGACCTTACATCATGGGGCACTCCCTTGTAGTCATTACAACAACCCTTTTCACTGTGGTAACATCCTTGATTATCCAGTGTATCATATCCCCATTCTTTTATGATAAATGCCCTGGACTCATTTACCACCCACCCCAATTATGTTATGGGTTTGTCGGGGCGGTCGGGTGGCGTAGTGGTTAAAGCATTCGCTCGTCAAGCCGAAGACTCGGGTTCGATTCCCGACATGGGTACAATGCGTGAAGCCTATTTCTGGTGTCCTCTGCCATGATATTGCTGGAATATTGCTAAAAGCGGCGTAAAACCATATTCACTCACTCACTCACTATGGGTTTGTCACCCCTTGCCCATGCTCCTGGGTTTCACCAAGGTGGTAAACGTCTGAGGCCTGCATCACTTCAGGCTTTCTCCTACATTAAGCTGACACGCCGCGATATAACTGGAATACTGTTAAAAGTGGCTTTGAACCAAACTAACTCATTCACTCTTTTGCCAGAGCTTAGTTTAAGAAGTGATGTCATCATCTGAGTCTCATTTTCAATAGCTTAGCACAGGATTTTACTAGCTCATAAGTATAATTTGATTGGACGGCTATTTTTATCATCAAGTGTTTGCATCGAGCTTAATGCGAAGTACAAGCAAAAGGGCCCAGGGTATTTAACCTAGTTATACATAGTTGTAATACACTGGATAATAGAGGATGTTATAGTATGGACTTAACATTGCTGCAGTTAAGATCACTTTGTGAAGTTGTGCCATTTGTTGTTTGTCTGTCATCATGCTACCATAGTGTGGATCACAACAGCCATTTTTTCCAAAACAGGCTTGATAACTTCTGAGTCATTGTGACACAGCTGTAATGTGCTGACTAGGCTGAAAACGACATGCACTCTCTCATTCTCTTTTCTGTGGACGAAGAATCCTTTTTTCATGTTCTGAATTATGAACAGTGATGGTTGGCTAACTGCATGGTGACATAATAAGGCCACAAGAAATTAATTATTTTATTCTTTCAACGTTGTGAGCAGGGAGGAAGTTTATTTTGTATTTTGCAAACAAACTGGTCAAGTCATGTTTACATTAACTTTCAACAGAGGAGATTCATGTTTGATAGAACTATATATGTGGTGCTTTGCTAATCGAAGAAAGAAGGCATCACACATGGCTATTTTCTATTTCTGTGGTTCTTAGAACAACAAAACGAGAGATATTGAGGCTGCAGTGATGAAAATCTAATAATTAATTTATTATGGCCTTATACAAATATACTGAACAAAAAAGATTGATCATGAGTATTTGGGGGGATATTTTTATCAAATTGTGTGCTCGGTCTACACTGCAAAAACATACCCCCAAAATATTAATGATATTTACTTTTTTTTGTCAGTGTGTGTTGATACTTACTGAACAGGGAAATCGTTGAAGGAAATAATCATGTTTGTGAAACTAGGCTGAATAATATTCTAGTAAAAGTTTGCTGTGATGAAAACTGCATTTACAGGATAACCATCTATCATATTATCATGATGCACTGTTAAGTATAAACTTGGACAAATCTGGTTGATATCTCACCAGAAATGATGCGGATAGATAGATTTAAAGTATTAGAGATTTTATATGTTGTTTGTGGTTATGTGGTATGTTGTCATAATATATCAGAGTTGTGTTTTCATCATGATGTTGACCTGTATATATGCTGTTAGAGATATTAAGATTTTACACCAATGAGAACGTTTAGTTTGAGTTCGTAGATGAATATGTGTATTTTGAACATGTTGACTATATATATGCTAATATTTCTATAGAGTAACCAGCAAAAAATGGTATTTGTCATTAAAATGAGTGCTAGCAAAATATACAAGTATATTTAGTGCATGTACCTACATTCACAATTTCATTTTCTAATTTAAACCATTTATGAATTGATTTAGTAAACCCATTTTTCTCACAAACAGTACAGTTAGGATGTTGAAGTATGTATGTCCTGATTTCCAGGCACCTCTGTATGCAATGTGTTCAAGATTAGCCAAACAGAGACAAATTGTCTTCTTAAGGCTAAAAGAAATAATAGTCTTGGTTCTCAGTTACCGCCCGCATCATCACAAAGTCCGCCGCATGTTTGTTCTTATTTCCATTTTCAAAAAATTACAAAAATACTAAATACTTAAAAACAATGCGACCCAAAATAGCACACAGTTACTCACCTTTACATGTGCACTACTTTACTGTGCATCTCATGTTACACTCTCCTACTCAGAGTTCCATGCGGCCGGCAGCCAGTCAGCATAGTACCTCTGCCACAGGCCAGCGCCATGTGATGATTCGTCACATCTTTCCCAATCCATTTAAGATATTGCATATGCTTTTCTTCCGTTTCATGTTTGACAAGTCACATTTTCATAAACAAATGTCAAAGAATGGTTACGGTTCATTAAGAATTTATCCTAATACGTGAAAATCTACTTGTTTTTGCATAGTTATCCTTTGTTTACATTGGTTGTACGGCTCCACGTACTGTCATCGAAGCCCAACAGAGAGCTAGCGATACGGTCACTTTGATGCATAAATATATCTTGTCATGCAACTCACTGTCGCAGTTGTAGTAGCATATCGATATAATTATGCAAAACAATCTGTAAAGCGCCCCCATATACTTGCATTAGTCCGTTCTATACTGATTTCTGAAAAAGCGTGTTTGTTTACAAACAAGAGAAGAGTCTGGTCACGTGATATGCAAATTAGCCTGTTGCAGTGGTGTCATGCTGAGTCACCACTGCGCCAGAGTGTGCAATAGGAGTTTGTATGCTTGTTTACGTAGAGAGGTCCTTTCCCAGGTTGATGGTACACAAGTGTTTATTTGGTTACATACTCGTTTGAACAAGCAAAATAAAACAACCACCGCCTGTCCACACTGTATTTTCAAAAGTCATTGCCTGAGAACCAATTCTTTTAGTTTTTTAAGCCTAAACATGAAAATTTCCAACTCCTTACATAAATGTTTGAGTCCTGAATCCAGAGTCAAATAAATCTTCTGTTTAGCTAATGAGATTCAGAAATTGTCCATAATCATTAAAGGTAATTTTGGTCAGTTGATAATTATGAACCAGCAAGGCCTAGTGGTTAGTTTTGTTAAGGAGCAGGATCACATCAGAAATCTGACAGTCTCATTATTATAAAAATCCAATCTTTACTCCAGTATGATAGCCCTCTGCATGAAGATCTGACGACACCATAGGATGTCACATCAGGTGAATCCTTAGCGAACTTTGACCACCTAATCCAAATGAAGGTTATGTTGGTTCTTGAACCAGTCAGATGCCAGCTTTCTAAATCTATTTGTAGTCATTTCTTACCACTTTGATTCAGAATCTTTTTGAAAACCCACACAGAACACAAACATTTTTTGGTGTATCTGCCATGGCTCTCAAAAACAACAGGATGTATATATATCAACAATTTCATAGCACAACTTTATTGTTTTGCATTCAGAACTCCCTGATTACATTCATTTTGAAGATACAGAGGCCCGCTCACTATTTCAGTGTTGTTTGGCTTATTAAAGGTGTCCTCAGAGCTTCATGCGGAGAGGAGTCATATCAGAGGAAGAGGTTCTTATGAGAATGGGAATCTCAGAGCCCAAATTTCTACAAAAGATCTTAGCACTAGACAAAATTATTGTTTCAAATCTTTCTATCAGATTTCAGGGACCCTGCTCACCTTGCTGTTATGGATAATATTTTCTTGACACAAAATCATCATGACAAAAGGTTACAAAGTTATTGTGATAAGTGAAAGTAAACTTGCTTGTGCATATTCATCTTCATCAAGAGTTTAATGTTGTTTTTCAATTTTGAAGACATTATAAATTTGTCTGACCTTGGCAATGCTGTAAATATTGTGCTGCTAATTTCTCAGGATTTTATCAGATACAAATATATTCCATTTGTATAATTATATCTAGGATAGAACAACAATGTATTCCCACACTGGTCTGTGATATTTAGAGAGTTTAAATATCCTTGTTTGAAACCTTAAGTCATTGGTTTTAGATTTAGTGGTACTAATTTTGTTTGAAGTGATATATACTAGAAATGTGTACCAGTCTGTCCATGTATCCACATAGCCTTATTGCAAACATATGACGAGGTGGATTTCCATTGCTCTTTGACTTCTCGAACCTGTAAATATATGGATGAAGGGTGTCCCTTTCTGAAAGCCATGATAGCATTACACACATATGGGAGTTACGATCATCTCAGTACTTAGCTCATTTTGTGGAACAGGACACAGGTGCCCCTTGCTGCAAATCACTCTTGGCAGAGCATATTGATGCAATTTGACGTGTGAATAACTTTGTGTCGCTACTCATGTAAGAAATGGGGGATTTGGTCTTCCTACCAGTTCCAATAGCACCACATTAGCAATTCATGGACAGACACCTGACCTTTTTCAACATGAAAGCAAAATAATGTCCTAAAAATGTTTGATTCAAATCGCTTTGATTCAAAAGTATTTTTACCGAAAGCAAACTACTCATCCTATGCTACAAATTGTGAATGTATTGCTAATGAAAAACATTGCTAGTCCTGTGTGAATCTGTGAATAAGAATAAGTAAGTTGTAGCATGACTAAATTTATCTAACATTTCTATTTCTGATAAATAAAATCGAAGCCCAGATGATCTGTGTCCTAGTTTCTTCACCTGTGAATACATATGGTCAACATATGGTGTAGTACAATGTGTATCGTACATGTCTATTTTCAGTCAAGTAATGAAATGAGGCTGTGAATGAAACAATGTGTTGAGAACCGTGCTGTGACACGTTGCATGAGAAATATTGCTGATTGTGCAATGTAAACTGAGCCTTATTAATCCCAGCATTTGTTGGATTCCCTCTTGCTGGAATCAGAACATTGCTTGATTTGTTAGTTAACAATAGACTACAGGGCATATCAGCCTTATGTATTCATGGGTGATGGTGAATGTAGTATACTCAAACTCATGAAGGACTGACGAGTGGTTGCTGGTTTGAGATTGAGTGACCCATCGCTTTAATTAAGGGGCCATGAGGTAGCCCAGTGTACAAGCTAAACAGAGGTCCATGGGGTTTGCTTCTATGGTATTTGAATCAAGGGACCTCTAAATCTGAATTGTTTTACCTTAAGGCTTTGACAAGGACCCTTGATTTTCATACTTAATTTGAACTTTGTAGTCCCATGTGTTGGCACATCAGGCCAAAGAATCCCAAGATATGTACGATTTTTGAAGTCCAAT